ATCAGCGAAGTGTCGCGTTACGTGGACAAGCCGATTACTCCTTATATGGTTAGAAAAAAAAGTATGCATGCTTTTTTTCGATATGATAATAAAAAGTCGTAAATACGGATTTGTATTCCAAGATTTTAACGATTAGAACTTCAATTCCGAATGAAACGAATATTATATTCAGAATCAACAGAAAAATCTGCATTGAAGAGTATATTCAATAGTTAAAAGTAATTTTCGTTGGATTTCGGTCCTTACACCTCCTCACTGATATTTTTCAATACTCTGACTTGTGAATCCTCAAAGCTCGAAATTTGACGAAAATTAATTTTAAGTATTGAGTATACCATTTGATGCAGATTTCAAATATAATATTCATTTCATTGGGAATTGAAGTTCTAATCGTCAAAATCTTTGAATACAAACTCGTATTTATAGTTTTTTGGTATCATATCGAGATTTTTCTCTTAGATCTAATTTTCACTAGAAAAATATCATTTGACTATGTTAAAAAAAAATTTTACTCAAATATTGAACACCTCATCTTGTTACCATAACGATGACGAATTGAAGAAATAACATTACTGTCACCTTCGACATAGATCTGAAATACATTACTTCATTACTCCAATTGTATCTGCTTCATATAAAATGCAGTTTTATGTTTAGAACAAAGAGAGAGGGAGAGAAGAATAGAAAAAAGTGAACAATGAAAAGGACAATAGAATGAAAAGATAAATGACAGTAAAAATACGAGACTTATATGATTATCGGTTACACTAACGAGACGGTTTGGATCGATTATTAAAGCTTAAAATGAATCATCGAATAAGATTATTTGTAACTAGAAGAATTATTTAAGCTAAATGATCACTCTCTTTAGTCTAAGTCCTATTAAGACTTATGCTTCTTTTGTTTATAAACAGTTAGAAAACGACATTAATATATATTCATCATATGTAAATGAAATTCTTTTTGAATTCATATAAACAACAAACATTCGTATGCTAATCGTATCAGCTTACACTTTGCTAGGTACATATCGATGATATTCACTCACCATTATTTATTAAAACATCTAATTTTGATAATCTTCGACGAAGTCGTTTTGCACATTCACGAACTGATTTTAATGAAGCAAGATCAAGTATTTCAATTTCAACATTATTATTTCCTGATAATCTACATATATCTTTTAAAGCTTTTTCTGCTCGTTTTCGATCTCGACATGCTAAAATAACATGAGCACCTATAGAAAAACAAAATCTTCTGTTGTTTTTGTTTTTTCTAAATCATTCCAAATATTATATACCTCGTTTAGCTAATTCAATAGCTGTATATTTCCCAATACCAGTATTACTTCCTGTAATAACAACAGTTTTTCCATCCATTCGATCATGTGATGGACATTGTGTACCTGACCAATAATATTTATTTGAAACATATAACACTACTAGAAATTCCCAAAAGAAAAAAATAAAACTCTAAGCAACTAACATGTCGCATGACAAATCAGAGCAGCTTCACGTACACATAATAATACTAATGATCAAAAAATCCACCATAACCATGTCATTATGAAATATTTATTTATCTAGAATAAACGACAACAAAAAAAAAATGAAATAAGTATTCCGATTCTTCTAAAGATTGATTTTGTGTCGATATCCATCGATTAATTTCTATTGTTTTTATTTTAGTTTGTTCAAGAAATTCTTCAATATTATTTGTCATTATTTTTGGTAATTCAACATTGGTTAAAAGTAATGTTTTACCTGCATTTAAACATGCTCGATTAAATCCTGATATAAATGACAATGTACAACTATTTATTTTCCAAAAATTTTCAAATGATAAACAATAATCAGCATGATTAAAAGTTGGACCAAATTTATAAAGCACTATAAAGAAAATTTTATTTTCAAAAGAACACTTTCCGATAAGGTCATTTTTGTTTGNTCAAAACAAACTTTTCTTTTCGGGGTCTAGGTGCTGAAAAAATAGGTTTTCGGTTTTCCAGAGATCCTGGTTTTGGAGAATAAGATGAGAATTTCATCTTTCTGGAACCTTTGTTGGAAACAATTTTCTTTATCCAAATCACTATTTGGATTCTTCATAGGAGTTACCATTAGGGAAAAAAATCGAAATTACACCTGTATGAATAATTTTTGGAGCCACTGTATATGTCACTATAGAAATTTTCTTGCTCAATTGAGTGTCGTCTTTGAATTTTGAGCCTTTACTTTATTCTATGAAGAAAAAAGAATATAATTAAAATGTATTATAATATATTTATGGTAAATGAGTAAATAATAGATATTCATTTCTCTAACTTTCCATAGAAATTTCTTTATATGGTGCACCGACAGATATGTCACACGACACTTGAACCTGACATAAGGAATAAATTAAAGAAACACAAGAAAATAGTTTAATTTAAATAAACCCACGTTCGCATTAAAAATTGAATAGATCTCTTGCATGGTTAAGGTTTAAGCCTCATTTTATCAAATGAAAAGTAGAAATTACAGCGTGATTGTGCACATGGAGATGTAAGCCTTCTATTCATCTACGTACATTCAGATCATCTATATGTGATATTGACTTTATGTCTTGCTTCATTCATCGACTATGTTTCAACTGTCAAGAGCTCAAGTGTCAGGAAGCACATATGTCGTGGTACTTCTTTACATTTGTTCGATTTAAAATTATTATATCTAACTCTTTAATGTTAGTTTTTGACAATCAGAATTATGAAAATACATGTTAATACGGACGATGATCGACATATACTATGTTTTATTAATATAATTTTAAGACTTATTTAATAACTACAAGTATCATCGAGTTATTCATGTTCTAATGAATGCATAGTAATTTTGACTATGCTTTTCTAAGTTAAACACTTATAAATTTTCTTTAGAAAATAAGTTATTAGTATGAAATGTGATTGTAATCTTAGTGTAAGATTTCAGTCCTTGTTCAAGCGATTGTAAAATAATATATATTTTTTTAAAACTATTGTTTCATACAGCGAAAAACAAAATAATCTACTTTTTTACTAATAATATTTTTTTCTCATAGACAAAGCATACAAAGGAAAAATAGTTTCTTAAATTCTCGCAAGAAATTCACCATTTTTAAGGAAAAAACAAATATCATCATTAGCCATTAATTTTTCATTTGAACAAATATCATCAATCCATTGATGTAGTATAGCTTGAGAATTAGATCTTGGTGGTAATGAAAGTGATCGATACTTTCCTTGTTGTTGACGTTGTTTTTGTTGTGTTGAACCATATGTTGAATGACTACGTGATGATGAACGTTCATTTTTTGAATTATACATTGATAAATCATTATAAGCATCAAAAGCAACATGAAGTCTTTTGATATATAAATCAACATTAGGATTATTATGAACAACAATTTCAGATCGATATTTTCCTGGCTTATTTTGATTATTCATTGTAAAATGAATTGGTTTTAAAGATCCACTTATTTTTTCTGAAGAAGAATTTATAAAATGTCGTTCTTCAGCTTGACATTCAATTTGAATAGATTGTGGTTGTGCAGAACGTGAAGGATATTTTCTTTGTTGATATTGTGGAGGTCGAGATATAAGTAATTCCTCGTCAGAAACAGTCATTTATTAATCTAGAAAAATAAATTGAACAATTTTTCACAAATATAACCATAATTCGATAAGTAAAAGGTCATGGTTTTCTTTTCTTGTCCTAGATCTAATGAAAACAATATTTGTAATATAACCGATCTTGATATTATATATATTAAACACTATATAACATCAAATATAAAGTTTCTTGATTCATTTCTCATCGTAAATTCTTTATTACAACTTGTGAAAAGTAAATATTATTTATTCTTTCTCACTTATCAATAGTCGACACTAATAATAGACAAACATATATACACCTATGGCATCTGATATTGATAGACATCAACTACTTGTGCATGTGTTTGTATGCATGTGTATAACAGATTTAAAAGATTAGTGTCCCGTCATATTAAATAGTTCTTTTTCTTCGTTCGCTTAAGTCGACACAAAACATTACCTGGCATTGAAAAATAAGAACAACGTTGAAGGTAGTGGTATCCAAAGAAAACGAAAGTCTTACTTGTGCCGTTAGAACATACCTTCTTCCTTTTTTTTCGATTTGCAATCAATCTTCCTTTCGTTTTCTCTTTTCTTCCACATTTGCTCTTCATCGATCGTATTGAGAGAGAGAGAGAGAAAAAAAACTTGCGATAAAAAGAAACGAAAACAACCCACCTATTATAAAAAAAAAACCAAAGAGACATTTGGCCTTGGTTTTGCATTGATGCCCTTTCATTTGTTGATAACACAAGCAATATTATTTCTTTAATTCAAACATTTAAATCAATTATAAATCGACAAATACAATGAGTTCTATTTTAATAATTATTTAGACAACATTCAAAATAAAATATAAGACTAGACATAAGAGAGATAATCAACAAAAAAGGATATATATTTATATATGACACATATACGAATAAAAGTGTTTTTTTTTGTATATTAACCGAAAATATCAAAGAGGTCATTAAATGCTTGCGTGCCAGGTTGTGGAGGTGTTTGCCGTGTGGGTTCCCATGGTGTAGCCGATTGTGGTCGATTGGCAGATGGTGCAACAGCTTGACTAAAATCATGACCACCAAACATATTTGCACCAGGTGTTTTTGAACGACTAGCCATTGATTTTTTAATTAATTCATGTGCTGCATTAAAATCAACAGGACGAAATGGATCGGTATCGTCTAATTTTTGATTTGTTGCTGTTGCTGAAATAAATGGATCATCAGCTCGAGTACTACTAAATGGATCATCGGCACGACCAAATGCATTAAATGTATTATTTGCATTTGCTGGTAAACCAAATGGATCTTGAAAGGAACTTGTCGTTGATGTTATCTGAGTTTGTTGTTGTTGTGGAAAAGCTATTTTACTAATTACGGAAGGCGCTGATTTACCAGGACTATCAGCAAGCTATACAACACAAAAAGAAAAACACATGATATTATGTATAAACTAAAATTTATAAAAATTCTTATACCTGTTTAAATTTAGTGATTAATTCTTGAATAGCTACTTGTGAATCTTTTTGTTCACTTTTCATATATTCATCAATTAAAGCTCGTTGACTTTCAACAGTATGTTGATAACGTTCAACATCAAGTTTTATTTGTGCTAATTGTTGTTGTTTATTTAAAAGACGAGTTTCAATAGTATTTTTATCGTCTTTGATTTTATTCAATATTTGACGTACTTCTTGTTGTGCATCAGTTTGAACAGATAATTCATTAATTTTTTCACGTGCTATTGTTATTAAATGATTTTCTTCTTTTATTTGTTGTTCAATATCATAAATATCTTTAATTGTTTTTTCTTTTCGATTTTGTATATCATTAAATTCATTTTGTTTTTCAGTCATACGTTGTTGACGTTCAACTAATGTTGCATTAACTGTACCAGAACGAAGTTCAAGTGATGATAATTCAGCACGTTTATCTTTAACAATTTGTTGTTTTTCGTTAAAATGAATTTCGCATAAACTTTTTTCACTTGTTAATGTATTTACTTCACTTAATAATTGTTGTAATTCACCATTATCACTTTCATTTATTGAAAATGTTTTTGGTCGAAGCGATGGTGGAATCATATCATGTGAAAGTTCCATTGGAAGTTGATAATTTGCAGCTATAGTTAAAGAAAAATTACTTAATAGGTTTTATTTTTCAACAATTCTCATATGGTAATTCATGATATTTCAATATTTTCTATGAAACTTTACCTTATTGATCGTTCTATTTCGTTCGAATGTTTTAAGCTTGTGTTAGTAACATGGATACAAAGACACAATACGAATACGAAAATCGTTATTCGAATTTTGTCTTCGATTAAGTACAAAATAAGATCATTTTTTGCAGACTTATTATTATGTTCTAATTTCTTCTTCTAAGGACGACTTTTTAGAATTTATTTTTTTCAAATAATATTATGATTCTTACTATTTAATTTGCAGTCAGATGTAAAGCATGAGAGGAAGGAATGATTCTGATAGACAATAACGTTCTTCTAGTTTTGTTCAATCCACCAATGGTGAAAATTTGAAGTCAAAAGCCAAAAAGAAACAGATCCTACATCTGCCGAATATAGAATAAGAAGGACTCTCTCAATATATAACTGTTAGCAAAAAAAAAATTTGCACCAAAGTAGAGATTTTTTGAGCGATAATTCTTTGACAGCTGAACAAACACATTACTTTTCGAAAGTACGATTGTTTTTGTTTTGAATGCATACAAATTTAAAAAAGTCAAGAGATCATCTAGCCTTTTAAAGTATGAAATAAGAGCTTCAATGGAGACTCTCTATTTATCATATCAGCAAATTCAAACAAATATATTCGGTTAAGAATCGAAGGAGAGATGGTCGACGATACACTCTCAATATGAAAGAAAAAAAATTCGTCGTAAAAATTAGATAATACTAAAATAAATAAATGAAAATATATTAAAAAAACCGAAAAGACATTATATTCTTTAACTATTTATTCCTTTTTTTAATGATGTTTGGCAAAAACTATACCAGAAAAACAATTTGTGAAAGTGTTTTGCAAAAAGTCGTAGGATCTTGATACAAATGTTCAATGTCTACGAACTAAGACAACATGTTTCTAAATCATTTCTATTTCTAATAGAATAGGTAATGAATTCGGATAGTCCAATTATAATGACAAATATTTTGTTACCTTTGCTATAATACTTCTTGAAAATATGAAACTTAGTAAACAATTACGGAAGAATAAATAAAAATGTCTACGTTATTACATATAAAAAGAAAACAAACCTTTTAATTTTAGACTAATAAAATATGATGCTAATGCAAATTGTTCTGCATTAAGTTTTCCAGTTTGACCAATATCGCATAGATTCCAAATATGTGATAAAACAAAATTTGGTAAACCACTTGCAAGAAATGTTTGAAAAACATCTCCACCTATAGACAGAAAAAAAAACAGACACAACAAATTATTATTATTATTATTGTTATTTTTTCTTTCTTCAATATATTCTCATTTTCATACCTGCAAGAAAACCATCTTTATCAAGATCTAATTGTTGAAATAAAATATCAAATTTTTGTTTTTCTTCTGCACTAACAATCCAATTATCATCAGTTCTTTTCGATGGTGAAATTTGTAATGGTGTTATTGATGTTAATATATTTGTATTTGGAACTAAATTTGGTAATACAATACCACTTTCAACACCTGATGCACGACGCATTCGTATTGGCAGTAAATTTGTTGGTACACGTTCAGGTAACTCACGTATTGTCGATGATTTTAAACCATGAATAAGAAACATAGCAATAGCAAATTCATTTCTATCCAATGCACCATCTTCATCAATATCGCTTAATTCCCAAATTTTATGTAATTGATCAGCTGATAAACCTGATTTAAGAAATATTGGTTTAACTGATGAACCAGGAATTTTATTCATTGGACCACTTAATTTTTCAAATGCACGATCAAATGTACATCGAGCTGTTGGTCCTATTGTCCACATATCAGCAACAGATAAAATTATTGATTGTGGTATGTCACTACCTACATTAGGTGGTACAATATCTTTTGTTATATTTGAATAATCATGAAAATCTAAATTATTTTGTGCTAATGCAATTAATTTAAGTCCAACATAAAATCCTCGTCGATCTAAATAACCACGACCGTGTAGATCAGATAAATTCCAAATTACTTTTAATTGATCAGGTTTTAAACGAGAACGTTGAAAATAATTATTTGCTTCAATTGAACTTACTATGCCATGATCAAGCCGATCAGCTTGTGAAAAATGGTATTCATATATAGCATATTGTGATTTTGGAATCACAAGATCTAAATCAATTGCATCAATATCCGTCATCTGAAAAGAACATAAAAGTTTAAATGTCGTTTTTATTTTAAAAACACCATCAACTATATGCTAATGTGTATAGTAGATAATGCATTGAATATTTACAAAAAAAAGTCCAACAAACATGCGCAGCACAAGACAAAAAAAAAAGAATTCAAAGACTAATTGTCTAATTCAAATATAAGCGGATTTGTAAATCGTACAGCTGATTTAGTAGTTGATGTTGTTGTTGTTGTTGTTTCTTCGTTGGTATTGTCATTATTATTATTTGATTGAGATCCACCACTTGCTTCCCAAGAAATAACATCTTGAAATTCAATAGGATTTTTATATGTATCAGATTGTTTAGTTTTATTTTTTTCATTAATTGAATCATCTTGATCACTTGATTGAGAATTAAGAGAATCTTGTCGTTTACGTTTTTTTAATTTTCGTTGTTGATTTGATGATAATTTTCTCATACCAGAAACTGGTCCACCTGGTTTAAATGTTTTTCTTGATACTTGGTTATTAAATGTTACCCGTTTAACATTAACAGATGAATTCGATGTTGGATAAAAACTATTACTACCACTACTGTCGGGTGATGTTACTATACTATTATTTTCATTACTACTAGTTAAATCATCGACTATTGAAGATGCTTCAAATGTTGATTCTTCACGTTGAAATTCGGTACTTATATTATTAAATGGATCACTGAATGATTCTGAATATGAACGATATTTTGTCGAACTTTTTAATATACTCTAAAGATTGAAAAAACAAAACTAATGAGAAAAATATTCAATGTTTCTTAATTTTACGAAACATAAAAATATTATATCATGGTTGTCTATTTAAGTTTTATTGATATTGACATCACTTTATGTATTTGTATTTCAAGAATATTATGATGGTAAGACAGAATACGTCTGTCTTTCGGCTATCTTGTGCTGAGGATTAGTGTATGTCACAAAAAAGTTAGCAATTGCTAGTAGACAAATAGTTCGAGGCAAGCAGTTGTTCATGTCGTGCCTAAGGTTATTTCATGGTATCTTACCAGTATATGCAGAACCACGTAACTACTCAACTATAATGGTTCCTAGAATATTATGAATATCGAAGGCTTTAGAAAAAAATCTTAGATAGCATGGATGTCGAAGAGATAAGAGGTTCTGAAAACCTCTAATGATGCACATAACAATAATTTTCGTATCGCACTCGAAAGTGAGACACTTGGACATGGCCCTAGAGCTAGGCCCGGGAACGAAGCTCAAATGCAAGTGTGTGATGGTTGATCGACTGGGATTAACTCGAACAAGATACGAATGCCCACAGTAAAATAACAGCGCATGACTAGCAAGGGTTTCGCTAACTATCCTAGTAGATTGGTCTAAAATAAACTGTTTTTTTTTTATTCAGATTGTTTTACTTTAAGTTTAAATTCTCCGTTAGATGAAATTTCAAGATCCACTTGTGATTCTGACATATGTCGACGATAGATTGATGGATGTGGAGTAACTTTTGGCATATCTGGTAAATTATCATCGTTTTCTTCGGATGTAATTTTTCGACTATCATTCGTACCATCCGATTTTCGTTCATCATGATTTGATTGAAGTGTTATTTTTGAAATTTTATTAACAAGTTGTTCATTATCATCTGTTATTTCTTGATTTTTTTGATTTTCTCTTGCCACTTTTTTAGCTTGTTTTTTGGTTAATTTTTTCTGTTGATCAGCATTTGATGATGACGACGAATCAGATTTCATAAAATCTTCTTTTCTCATTGTATGTTTTGGTAATGAATTAGATTTTTCCACAGGAATTGAAACAGCTACGGAACTGATCTAAATAACAGAATAATACTACGCTTAAATTATTTTAAAAAAGGCTTACTAACGCAGCTTCTTTGATGCTAAATTATGGAACTTTATTTATTTCTGCATTGCGAACAGAATTTTTTCTCCTTTTTTTCACTGGCACTTTATTGTTTACTTGTCTTGTTGCTTTTCATTTTCGTACGGTTTTTTGTTCTTAACTTTTTGATTTTACGGGTAAATAAGCCTGTTATACATTGCCATTATATCTACAGCAGGTCTCAGTGCACTATTATGAATCTCAATAACCCTCACGAATACTGTATTGATTATTTCACAAAGTTATAACTCGATCAACTCACACATGGTATGTTTATCATATTAGAATAGCGGTATTTAGAATATTATTACACTGATTTCAGCAATTTGAATTTTGAGGAAGGCTTTGAAATTTTCTAAAATACTCTAACGAGGTAACTATCCAATAGGATACCCGCCGTTGGAGATCATATTGGATTATCAAGAAGATCTTGGTAGAAATAGAAAAAATGTAAAAGGGTTCGTGTCTAGGGGGCCCCTGGAGACAACCTATAACCGTTTTATTGACTTTTCGATCCAAAAAATTTCGTCCATGAACACGTCGCATGACTAGTACAAAATCGAGTTTACTTGAAAATTCAATATCTTAGCAGAGAAACATTTTTTTCAGCTGAAACTTTAAGAACATTTATAGAGTCATAAGGTCTATCTATGGACCGAATTTTATTATTTGATTTTTCGGTAAATATCTAAAGTTTGATCGAAAATTCAGTAAAAAATTCATAATTCAGCTTCAGAAACCCATGGACACGGACTCTTTTAGTGTTTTTTAAGTCTTGCCGAGACCTTCTTGTGAACCCAATATGAGTTCAAACTGTATGTAGCAGTTTGGATATTACTCTCGTAAGTCTTTTTTCTTAATGTCGTTCAGTACCTTTTTCCATTGTTAAGAAACTCTGGGAAAGGGATTTGGCACTTGCCGTTCACGGTTGCTATGGCAGCAGATCTAGTGATCGTTGATCCTTCTCTGCCGTGGATACGGAAAGCGGCAATACATGATATAAAGATAGTTGCAAGTTCTTTACCTTCATATCTTCTCGATTAATACCGCTAGAAAATTGAGTTAATTGTTTATCATTTGAGATTTTTTTAAATAGTATTAAAACATTATCTTCATTAAATGTAATTGTTGATGAATTTTCTGTTGTATCAAATACCATTGGTTCATCAAAATCAAGACATAGTTGATGATATAAAGGATAAAAACCTGAGCCTAAGGATGATAATTGAATAGTGATATGTTGTCCATCATTTTCAAGTTTTAAACTAGTTTTATCAACATTTTTAACATATAAAACTAATGCTGAATGAACTAAACCTTGTTTATATTCAAATGGAATGGGTGAATAGGTTATATTTGCAGGTTTTTCAACTGATGATGTTGATTCATTAGTTGTTATTGTTGGAATAGTTTCTGTTGGTTCTTCATTCGTTTCTTCCATATCAACATTTGTATTAACTTCCATAATTGATGGAGTTTCTTTAATAACAGCTAACGTAACAAGTAATTTGCGTTGTTTTTTATCAAAACGTGCATGACTATCACTTTCACGTACTGGATATGGTAAATGGAGATCCAGAGAATATTTAGGCGAATTACAATGAAGTTTAAGTGAATGCTCACATACATCTAAATCAACATTACTAGAAGATGCACATAATGGAAGATCAATTTCAACAAGTAACTCTTTTGGACGCATCGAACGAACTTGTGGTACAAGAGAATTTGTACAATCTTGCATATCAAATTCACCACGATGAATTATTTGATATGTTGGAATAGTAAAGCCATTTTCATCTGTACAAGGTGTCATTGTTTCGGATGGATTTATGTTAGTTGATGGTGGTGGAGGATTTACCGTACGATTATGACTTGATAAAACCACTTTGTGATTTTGAGCATTTGACATAGCTTTTTCAATTATATCATCACTTGAAGAAAAATATATATACTCTAGATAAGAAGATCTTCGAAATAAACTTTTAGCTCGAGTTTTTGAAAACATGTATTTAATCTTTAATGTTCTTTATCTATAACATATTTTCTCATTCTGAGCAAACTATAATAGCAAGTAAGTTTAAACTTTTACACTCTGTTTTAGCTCATTCATAGAAACTATCTATTTTGAGTACTAAAGCATAGGATTGAGAAAGTGTCTCAATGTTGTGTATAAACTATAAATTCATAAAAAAATTAAACTTCTTTTAATCGTCCTTGGCTAAGTTTCAGGAATTGGAAAACGATGTATTCTTAAAAAAAGTTCTAAAATTTGAACTCTCATAGACTGTGACAGACGTTGTTGATATGCGATTAAAGACCGTATATGAATTACTGTCTTATGGCATTTCTGAAGAATTAAAATAAAAGAGTAATGCAGAAATGTGTTCCAAATTAGATAGTATCAAGCAATCCTTGAAACGACTCATTTTTGAAAAAAAAACTATTCATGATATATATATATATGTTCAGCTTTATACAGATAAAATAACAACATAATTACGAGCAAACGTAAAAAAATCAAATTAACAATAAATTCAATTATCATGTCATTCAAGTGATTTCGCCCAAATTTAATCAAATTAGTGTCCTATTCGATATCAGCATAAGCTATTTCTATAGACATAAAGGGTTAACAAAATACAATAAAAATTTATTTATTAACTTTGTCGATTGACTGACGATGTAGTGGTGTAACTACAAAAAACAAGCTGTACAAGACGGAGGAGATTGAAACCCGTTTGATTATATCACAATGGCGAAGAGCATGAAGCAAATTTTTTTCTACAATTACATTTCGTATTTTTGTAAAAAGCTTTGAGAGGAACAAGAAAGAAATGAAAGATTTCATTATGTCTCTTGACATTACTAGAACAAGTAATTCCATTAGAGACATAGTTGAACATTTTCTATCGGAAGCTACTACTTATACAATCAGTATTATTTTAGGCAAATTCTTTTCTTCAATAACGATCATAATTATATTTAATATTTTAACTTACCTCTCTTGTTTAAGTTCATTTTCAGTATCATTTTTTGTTTCCTGTTGTTGATTTTCTTTCTTTTTTCTAATAATAGTTGCTTTTGGGACACCTTTAAATTTCATTTTTAATTTTTTAATATTATTTCTATCAAGTTTACAATGAAAATTATTTTCAACTGAATCTAATGCTGAATCTTCAACCATTTTCATAAATTTTGCATTTGTTTCGGCCATTCTATACGTATCTGGTGAAAAAATAACATCGTAAGTCGTACATGGTTTTGATTCATGATCAACATCTTCATGTGGACCAGCTAAACAATGTGGTAAACTCCATTGTACACCTTGTTTACCATTTGTTTCCGTCATTTTATTATATGATGGTTTCTCAACATGTTCATTTGTTGCTATATTAATAAAACATTTATTTTTACTATTTATTGTTGTTTTAAGTACATGACCAGGTTTAGGATGTATAAATGTAACATCTGAACCACGTTGTTCTTCAACAGCACGAATTTCTTGCTCATATAATTCACGATTTTTTGGATCATTTAATTCTTCAGCATATTCAACAAATAATTTACGAAATTCTTCATTTTTGAATGCATCAGAAAAACGTTTTAATTCATCATTTGATAAATTCAGATCTTTTAATTTATCTTCACATGAACTACCACTCATTATATGTATATAAAGAAAATCTAGAAAAGAAAAACGAAAGAAAATTCATTTTGATTATATCTACACTCGATATATGTATAAAAGGTCATGTCAGTAGGATGTAATGCATTTTAAAACAGTCGACTAAATAAAAAGAAAAAAAAAAAGAGAAAAGAAACAGAACAGAATAGAATGTCATGACATCTCTAGTACAAATAAATAATCAAAAAGAAAATAATAACTTCTTTCAATATCGCCTTCACATAAATATGGTAAACGTGTTAATTTTTTTAAACGAAAACCTAATGGTTGAAAAATATTTATTAGAAAACTATTGATTTGTTCTTCTGGCGAATCACCTTCGATTTCAATTGATTCATTTGGATGATGATTATTACTATATTCAAAATATGGTTGAAACGGTAAAACAAGACTTATAATTAGGCGACCAGTTTTAGGATTTAAATGTTTACGTAGTTTTTTTAATAATGCTAATGGTTTTTCACAACGATCAAGAACATTTAAACATGTTATAACATCAAAAGTTAAATTTTCCCAATGATCTGTATTTAATACTGTATAACCATATGTTGATAAACGCCATTGCATTGTAGAAGATAATTCGGTTACATAAACTTGTTTAAATAGACTAGACATTCGTTCAGTTACTGAACCATCACCAGCACCAATATCAAGCAGAGTATTGAATGGGGATTCTTCATGAGATTCTATATCAAGTAAAGTTTTAAATTGAGCTGTTGAATATACAAACATACGACCGCGACCGATTAAACCATTAGCTAGAATAGATAAAAAACAACAATAAATTATAAAGATGATTGAAAATAAATTCAACAAAAAAATCGAACGTTCATAAAATTCACTAACGGTTAGTAAATACCGGAAAGAAAGACAAAATAAAACTCCGAAGTGTTTATTCAAGCTCAATGACATGGATTATTTTTTACTAAATATTCTTTCCAGCGAATTGTTAGATTCTTTTATTTATTCAATCTATCGAAATTTCATATTTAAAAAAATAACATGATACTACCTGATGTTCTTGTCATAAAAAATGTTAATAATGAAGTGAGTATACTATGAATGATTTGTAAAGGAATATTATCAGATTTTTGTTCACTTTGTTTAATAAATGTTGTTGTTTCTTCATCTTCATGAAATTCATGAAAATATTCTCGATATTCATCATATAAAAGATCTTGACGTGATAAACGATACCATTTATTTCGATCGATTTTTTTTAAACATTTATCACTTTGCATTTTATTAAAAACAGCTCTTGCCCATGTCGAACGAAGAGGTACATATGATGATGGTTGACAATATGAACAATATTCATTGTTAGTTGTCATCATTTTTTATTATCTAAAAATAATCATTGCTTGAATCCATTAAGAAAGACAAAGTGTTAAAAAAAAAAAGCTTTTTTTTTCGATTAATCATTCTCTTCATCACGAACTTCTTTTAATGCATCATTTAACTGTGTCATTTCTGCACTAAGTTTCCAAAGACGTTCAGCAGATTGTTCATCACGAGATATTTTCGATGATTGACGTTCTTTGCAATCACTATATATATATTTAAACATGTATAAACAAAAGTAGCATAGAGTAAATAACTAACCTAAAATATTTTCCTGTAACATTTTCTAAATGACGATCACATGCAAGATAAATCGATGTTTGAGCACTTTGTTCAAGATTTTTAGTAAAACACCACCAGATAGGTGTCAGAAGAACAAGTAAAAAATTTAATATTATTTGATAACGACCACACATATATCGAATAACTTCACTTCGAGCAACACCTATACAAATATAATTGATTGAAGAAAATTCTTTTATAAAATTTATTTACCAGGATGCAGACTATTTGCTGTAATATTTGTACCTAAAATTTATAGAAATAAAACATAGATAATATTTTGTAGTTTTTTATAAAAACCTTTTAATCTTCGTGCTAATTCATTTGTAAATAAAATATTTGCTAATTTACTATGTGAATATGCATTTATTCCCCAATGTGGTTTTTCAAAATTTATATCATCCCAATTAATTGTACAATTTAAAACTAATTATAGAAAAAAAAACAAAGAAATTTTTAATTTATTGAAAATAAAAGTATTTTTACAGGCATGATTAATCGATGAAACATTGATAACTCGCGCTGATGGAGCTTTTTTCATTAAATCCAATAGAAGATTTGTTAATAGGAAATGTCCAAGATGATTGCTGGCAAAATGAATTTCATAACCATCAACTGATTTTCCTGTAGTCATCATAACACCTAAAGACAAAAAAAAGTCCAAATTTAACATTTTTAATCAAATTTTACTAGGACTTCAAAGGTAAGGTGGCAGCATTTTCGAAATTTGGTTTAGATAGATTTTCATTTTACTCGCCATATAGTTAGAAAAATGTGCATCGATTAGTATACTTAATAGTTAAAAGTAATTTTCGTTAAATTTCGATCTTAGGAGAAGTACATATCAAAGTATTCGAAAATATCTATGACGGAACGTAACGACTGAAATTCAACGAAAATTGCGTTTAAATATTGAGTATAATATTGGACGCAGATTTTTTCCACTATCTCTGAATATGATATTCATTTAATCTAATCATCAAAATCTTGAATACACACTTATGTTTATAGCTATTTACTATCATATCGAAAAATTCTATTATGACAATAATATAAATAGTATTTTTCAAAAACTATGCATAATTTTTATCTTAGCCGTATAACGATTAAAGCCAAAATCTATTCAACCAAACTTTGTTCAAATTTCGTACCAGTAACACCTTATCTTTATACTATGATAATGATGAATTGAAGAAGTAGTAATACTGCCTCACCTTCAACATAGATCAAAACTGTACTACTTCATTACTCCAATTGTCTCTGTTTCACATAGAACACACCTTTATGTAGGACAAAGAAAGAAAAGAATAGAGAAAAGTGAACAATGAAAAGAACAAAAAGATAAATGTCCGCAAAAATACGAGATTTATATGATTATCGGTTACACTAACATGACGGCTTGTGTTGATTATTAAGGCTTGAAATGAATCATCAAATAAGATTATTGGTAACTAGAAGAATTGTTTAAACTGAAATGATTACTCGAAGTTCATGCATTCACACGACTGATAAAATAGGACTAAGAATAAAATTCTCTGTAATTCATATGTACAGATCCCATTTATTTATCTGTAGTCTAATACACATTAAGACGTATACTTCTGTTGTTTTTAAACAATTAGTAAACGTCATTAATATGTATTTATCATATGCAAATGAAATTCTTTTCGAATTCATATAGACAGCAAACATTCGTATGCTAATCGTATCAGCTTACACTTTTCTATGTACACATGGTATCAAATAAAATAAAACTGTATGAATATATTGGAGGAATTTACTCACCCGCATTATTTATCAAAACATCTAATTTTATTAATCTTCCACGAAGCTGCTTTGCACATTCACGAACTGATTTTAATGAAGCAAGATCAAGCATTTCAATTTCGACATTATTATTTCCTGATATTCTACGTATATCTTTTAAAGCGTCTTGTGCTCGATCTCGATCTCTACATGCTAAAATAACATGTGCACCTATAGAAAAATAAAAAAAACAAAATTTTCTATTGTTTGTTAAAATCATTACAAATATTATCTACCTCGTCTAGCTAATTCAATAGCTGTATATTTTCCAATACCAGTATTACTTCCTGTAATAACAACCGTTTTCCCATCCATTCGATCGTGTGATGGACATTGCGTACCCGACCAATAATATTTATTCGAAACATATAAGACTACTAGAAATTCCCCAAACAAAACAAAAAAAAAAAGAAACTTAATTAAAAGACAAAAATTTAAGCGACTAACATGCCGCATGATAATCAGAGCAGCTTCACGTACACATAATAATACTAACGATAATAATCCACCATAACCATGTCATTATGAAAGATTTATTTATCTAGAATAAACAACAACAAAAAAATAAACGGAAAAAATCATTTCGATTCTTCTAAAGATTGATTTTGCGTTGGTATCCATCGATTAATTTCTATTGTTTTTACTTTGGTTTGTTCAAGAAATTCTTCAATATTATTTGTAATTACTTTTGGCAATTCAACATTGGCTACTAGTAATGTTTTACCTGCATTTAAACATGCTCGATTAAATCCTGATATAAATGACCATGTACAACTATTTGTTTTCCAAAAATTTTCAATTGATAAACAATAATTAGCATGACTAAAAGTTGGACCAAATTTATAAAGCACTAAAAAGAATATTTTATTTTCAAAAAAGGATGTTCTGGTAAGGCCATTTTTTTTTCGCCCATGCTATTTTCTATTGGAAACGTTTGAGAGTTATTAGAAGTATTTTCCACCACTTAACTTTCGATATGATCTTATTGGTTCTGGAAGTACTGCACAAGACTTCTGAAAAACCTTTTTTTTAAAGGTTTAAACATAGAAAAATGTATACTACTGATAAATTAATTACAGAGTAGTTTTTCGTCTCGCAGCTCTTTTTTTATATAAGAAATATATTTAAACATTAGGCTTATTTTCTAAAATATAAAATTCGTTGTATCCATTTCAAGCGCGAGAAAACTGATCCTAGAATTTTAGAGAATCTAGGCTTTTCGGCAACCCTCTCATGTTCAACATGTCTTAAAACTTATTCCTAATCTTTTTTCGTAGCCTTAATTTCCTGTCATCATTTGATATTCACAATGTTATAATGGATGCAGAAAAAGGCCAACTTGTTTCCTAGGTTAAAGTAACTATTATTTTGCATGATTGAGTCGAGTAAAAGCAATGAAAACTTGTAGGAATAGATTTAACATATGTTCAATACGATGACGTTGCCAAAAATCCTAAGTTCTCTAAAATTGTGGGATCGGTTTTCTAGAAGATTCCTGAAAACTTCATGCCTTTTTGACACCAAGCCATTTTCCAGTAGTAAAATTCTGATAAAAAATGTTTTGAAAAACCTGGGGATACCACATTAACTAATAGGTTCATGTCGAACTAAGCGGCGTGAAATACTTCTAGCAACTCTTTGATACGTTTCCAATTAAAAAATTACGTGCGCAAAAAAATATAATTATATGAACATGTCATTTTCTTTCTTTTTTTAAAATATTTACTATAATCACAACCAAATTTTAAACCACATTTAACAACCCATCCAATACTTCGATATTGATAATAAACAGCATATTTTATTGAAAAGTTTTTATCTTTTATAATAAATCTATTCCATAATTCATCTGGAGATAAAATCTTTTGAAATTATTTTATAAAAGAAAAATATTAATAGTTTATATTTATCTTACTTGATTGAATTCATCTTTGACAATTAAACAGCCCAGTGCATGTTGAAGAAAAATTGTCTAAAAAATTGAGTGAAAGATTAAAAAAGAATAATTGAATCAAACTTCTTCTGGTAAGAGATAAACATGTTCATAGATAAGTAATTTTGACGATGAAATTTCAATATTATTATCTTCAATAGGTTTCGAATTGATGGTTGAAGATGTTGAATAGATTTTTGTTTGTTGAAGAATTGCTTGACATTCATCATGATTTTGTTCTCGAACTTGTCCATAAGATAATGGAAACATTTTTTGATTTAATTCATTAAGAAAATCTTTTTCAAAATCAGAAATATCTTCATCAATATCCATTTGTTGACTACTATGTTTTATTGATTAGATAATAAATAAACAAATTAAATAATAAATAACATACTTTCCATCACTGAATTCTATTGTTCGTAATCTATAAGGTTTTTCGTATTTTTTTCTACTATTTGGTATTATTTCTAATGGTGTCGATGGTGAAACATGAGTTGTAGTTCGAACAAATTCACATTTACCAAAACTTCCCTACAAGAAAAAAAAAACATTCTTTTAGTCGAAACTATTGCTATTAATAAATAAAAGATTAATTCATAGTACGAATCAGAGTTCTCAACCGACGACTTTTTTCTAGCCTAGTCTGCAGATCTACGATTGATGTTATTGATTTGTTGGAATACGTTTAATTCTAGAACTCTCCATTAATATATTTCTAAAGATAAAATAACAACAAGTCCTTGTACAAAGTGGTAAATTGAAATAAATAGGCAAACATCCAGAATATTTTTCATATAGGAAATGTTTGAATCAAAGTAATGTTTTTGATCATATCAATTCTGTTTCGAATGGTCGAAAAAATATAATCATAGAAGCAAAAACAACATATAGTTATGTATAGAACGACGAGGTAAAAGAAAATGTAGGAAATAAAGGATACTTAAAATAACAGACAAGGACATTTACATTTGACTACCGATTTTTGCAATAGTACGATTGCAAAATTTCCTTTCAAATTATTTCGAATCTAAAAAAGTTCTTCTGTCAGTCAATGTAAATTCTACAACATTAGATTGAGATTCCATTCAACCATTTATTGCTGAAATCAAATGAATTTTTCAAAGTACTCTCGAATAATCAGAACATACATCAATATTTGATTTCCAAAACGTAAGAGTCGGGCTATCTTCTTTTGTTAGTTATTAGTTAAGTATTAAAACTTGATCGTTGAACTTACATATCTAAAAAGTTTATCGCCATGTTCGACATCAGGAATCATAATGAGATCATCAACAATTTTTGCTTCAAAACAAGGCCAATGATCTTCATCTTCTTCGACCTATATAAATATAATTAACTCGTATTGTTTTTAAATATCATCTTTTTTATCTACTCGATCAATATCATGAATAAATAATGGAAATAATTTTAAATATTTAATTCTATTCGATCGAATTTTACTAAACGATGTTGTGGTTTTCATTGACATCTTCAATAAAAATAAAAATAAAACGATTAAACACATGAAAATATTCCAATTGTTTGTTTATTCGTTTCATAAGTAAACAATCATGAATCTTTAATTATTATTAACAAATAACTTGTCAAAGACTAAATGAAATGATATTATTATATTTGAACAACTAATATCATAATTTGTTTATCATCTTCTATGAAATCTTTTATAATTTTTTTTATACCAAGCATAGGTAGTAATAATGAATGAATTCATTTAATGATGTATTTTCATTGATTCAACTATGATCTTAAAGAAAAATATATGTTGTTCGACGCTGATATTGAATAGCCTTCTAATGGTCGATCAATTGATTATGATCAGCATCCATGTAAATTGATTATTATCTGAAAAAATCCTAGGATAGTTTTAATTTAAATAAAACAATTTAAATAAAATTTTATTCAATTCAAAAAGTAAGATAATTTCTTCTATAATTGTCAATCTAATAGATACTTTTTTTAATGGTACAATTTATTTCTCGGTAAATCTTTCTTACATTGATGAATTATATTTAATAATGAAGAGTGCATAACAATTAAATCTGACAAATTGTTTTATCTATGGTTAATATACTCTTTTTTAATAAGCGAGTGGTTACAGTTCATTCCTTTTTTGCTTTTAAAAATGTATTGCCATTCGTCGAATTATATATAATAACTGACTGAGACATCTGGATTGATGTGGTAAAATCTATTCAATATATACGGAAACTGTTTAATTTTTCGGTTTCCAACAAAAAAGCTGTTTCACTGATTCGAAAATGAGTATATTTTTTAAGTTTATATCTTTTAGATCAATGATAAATTCTCGAAAAATACACATTGAGTCACTTAGAGATTGAAGTAAGCTATATACACACTATTATGTGCATATAGTATTTCACCATTGTATGAAAACTACCACATAGCCTCTAAGATAGGGAAGATGGCGTTCAGTATCAGTGTATTCAAGATACTCGAATGTTCTTTCCCTATCAAAAAAAGAGAAAAAACATGGATGAACAACGAATTCGTCAATTGCTCTAGTTACATTGTGCGACATAAATGAAGTCGTTATCTCTGATAAGTCTCTAGATATGACAAATAAAGTACAAATTCAGGGTCTTGTTCGGAAAAATTTTTGTCAAATTATAAAAAGATGAATAGAGTACGAAACGATATCATGTTTTTTTTATTGTTGAAATTAAACAATTGAATAAATGCTAGTATCTCGTACTTTAATAAGAATTGCCTTAATAAGAATCTATAGAGTAAGGAGTGGTAAATGTATAAAGTAAACCAGTGGTCTTCAGCAAAATGGCTATAACTCTTTTAGTTTTCATTTTTTTTAAATTGTCTTCACAAAACTCCTACCTGCTTTCATGCTCGATTGGTTGATGAGAAAAATTTTCTTGAAATCTTGTGAGTACACCTATCTACGATGTATTCTTTGAACAGTGTTTTGCGATTATACATTTACCCCGTTTGGATCAAATGTATAATCTCGCTGATGGTGCTGGAGAAAATGTATAATCTCGGTCTTTTTTCATGTATTTCTTAAATTCTAATTTTTGAGCAATTCATACTTGTTTTTATTCTGATTTTTTTACCAATCGATAGCTTAAAATCTTCTATATCGTTCTAAACTAATTTTCAGGCTATATCTAAAGATTGTCTTTGTTTTACAAAGCTTACAACCAGATCTCCAAACCAAAAAACTGTATACATTTACCTCGTAGGAGGGGCATTGTATAATCTAAGCAGATTTTGCAGGAAACACTAAAAATCAACTTTTAACAAATCTATAAGGACTTTAGAGACGTTTTCAACGGCAAAATCGTTCAAAATGATGAGCTTAATAGTTCTAAAGTGTTTCGAAAATCAATTTCAAATTTTCATTTGTATATTTTTGTCTGTTATATGCGAGTCGAAGATCACGCTTAAGCGTAAAATGACTATTTTTATGTGAATTTAGTCAAAGCTACGAGTCATATAATTCTTTACACACATCAAAAAAAGTTAAAATTTATTTTTTTCTTTGTTATGCTCTGTTTTAGGACAAAAATTTGTTTTGATTTTTTACAAATTTTAATTAGCTTAATTGTTAACTCAATTTCAATTTTAGTAAATAAATTTGATAAAGTTCAAGGATGAAATATATATGCGGATCATTGGGTATGGGCGCAGATCAAAAGAGATTGAGATCCCACCGCATCAACATCTACACACATCTACACACATATCCACACTGACACCCTCATATACAGGCATTCCCAACACTACACTCATACGCATCCACATCCTCAAGAAATTGTTAGTTCCATCATTAGTAGTTTCACTGTCATCGATTCTTTCTTTCTTTTTTATTCAATAAATTACTTTCATTTTGCAGTTACCATCCTAATATGAACATCAATCCGTAGACAAAAAAATTAAATTAAAATTGTACTTCAGTCTTTGTTTTATTTGATGTTAAAAGACAAAATTTAATAAAACCTTTTTTTATAAATGGACTAGTAACTTGATCATTTGATGTTGAATCTTTTGATCGAGTTTGTTCTAGTTCTTCAAATGTTGATGAAGAATTCAAAGGCACGATATTTTCGATTAGGTCTGCAAGAACGCTAAACGAAAAATTTAATGCTTACAACGTTTTTTATCATATAAAGCTAAGCAACAAAGAAAGAGACGAATAGTATTGCAAATTTTTTTTTTCTTGGAAGCTAGTAAAAGAGTATTTTCTTCATAATGGCAGCGAATTTCTTGCTATTCATCGACCACCATAATCATAACTAACAAAAAAACTCAGTTAAAATTTAATTATAATATATATTAATACTGTCAACTATTGATTTTCGTCGGTATAACTTTATACAACTAAAGCATGCACAAAAAATCGCCTATGCACTTTATTTGATGATAGTTAAGTATTGTTTTACCCGTATAGTGTGAGGGTAGATCTTTTCATTGCATGTACATCCTCTTTTTAAGGACTTTCTTGAATGAGAAGCGAATAAAGAAATTAGTGTCCGAAATAATACACTCAGTAGCAAGGCGTTGAATACAACCCCATAATTAGAAGTGACAGAAATAAATTTAAAACGAATCTATCTTCGATCAAGGTTTGATCAAACCTCTATTTGGTAAATGACATGCCAAAAAACAATAAACTAAATGCAGATTATACAGACACTGCTTGAAGTCGACAAATCACAAATGACAGTAATGATTTAGTATGAAATAAGAAAAATGAACATCAATTGGTGCTCTCTCGACGAGCTTGTCTGCATCGAACGAGACAAACTTATGAATGCAGTCGAAGAATACGAGCCGGTTGTTCTGATACATGACAAAAGGTCACCAAATGATGGCAATCGCTCCATTCTATTCATTACTTCTAGTGTTAGGCAAAATTCTTTCTGAAAGGAGCTCAACCGATGATACAATGGATGTGGCCGATTGTGTCACACAATTACCAAGTGATCATCTATTTTTTTATGAATACGGAAATTAACGCGCTCAATGAGAAAAGTTAGTTGATATTCGTCCAACTCGAGCCGAAAGAATTCAACTGAGGAAATTTATGTCATTTCTCTCCTCAAAACAATCGATATAAAGTTGTTATGCGCTGCAAAAAATGTTTGATTTCGGTTTCCCACTCACACTAATTATTTGAATCATCGCCTGCTCAATTGTTTCAACTCACATCTACCAATGTCCTATTTTGAACAGGTGAATTACGATAAGGAAAAGATCCGCACCCACGCCCGCACCCACATGATCGTTTGTTTTACGTAAAAATGGAAGAAATTTCCATGAAATCGCACGAAGTTTGAAGCTAGCATTGGTTTTGTACATGTACCTTCGAATTAATTTCGAATTACTCCATCTCAATGCGTTGCAAAGGACTCACTATTCACTAAGTTTTAGTCCAATTTGACATCATGATAGTTTATCTGAAAATGTTTGTGGTTTGAAAAATAACATGAAATATTTATCTCATTCAAAAGGAAACAACAAATTCTTGGTCTCTAATACTGTATTCCATTGTAGTCGATCTTTTTCGATCACGATTGATCAAGGCAGCCATATATTCTTTCAGCCATAATTTAAACTCGGCACTAAATGATTGTGATGTTTGTTGGAGTCTTGATAGGTTCAATTCAAAATGATACAATTTGGTACATTTGCCATCGAATATTGACGGCAAAATAGTATAGAAATTGTCGACTGGGAAAGTGATATTGACATCCATGTATAGAAAATGTAAATTCGTCGAGAATGCATTCAAAATTTGGGTTATATCTTGGAGTAATGGTGAATCACTATTAAATGTAATCCATAAAGAATTAATTTGCTTTGTTAACATCTGAACGACTAGGGGTGAATTGAACAAATCCAATAGGTAGTCGTAGGGTAAATCAAGTCGCCGGATTTGAGACATTTTACTGAGAAGACGACGCATTAATGTTCTTGATGGATAATTGATATTGGTCGGTACATTCATGGTAAATTGGAGCCCGGTGATTTTCGATAAATCAGGAATAGATTTCATCAGATCAGAACAGATCAAACTAAAGAAAAAGGATTCAACGTATATGGAATTCATATGCAGATTTCATCATCCCTAGATCAGTAGGTTTAAATTAATTGCGTTAAATCGTCTATGAAATATAAGCGTTATGAATGGGAAAATTTTTTATTCACGAAAAAATCTTTCAGTTTGAACAATATCCCACCCGTTGATATACGAAGTTTTACCACAAAATTCAATTTCGATTCTTAGTGATTTTTCTTTCCTGGGAATTTATAACGTTTGCAACAAAAGCGAAAAATGTTCCTTGAATAAATTATTTATCATACCTGCTTATTGGATCGTTTTCTTTTGAGTTTCTTGTCATCTGTGAATGAATTATTACTGTTGTTACTTTTGGATAAATTGTTCTGTTTTGATTTGCTGATACCAGTTGTTCAATATTATCATTTAATGTCATTTTTAATTTTGTTACATTGTTATCAATGTTAGTCGTATTATTTATTGTTGTTGTATATCTTTCTTTTCCGTAAAATTCTACAGAATATTTTCCACGAAGTGCAGGTTGTGTATCGGTGTAAACTTCTAAAGTTGGTGGTTCTAAAACATGATTGTAATCCATAATAACAGGATCATTTATCCATTTGTTATGATTATTGTTGAATAAATGAACGAGTTCAGGTGATGGACATCGTTGAACAGCAGAGCCTCAAACGAAATTAGTATGGTATTTCATCTCTACTGAAGAATACTAAACAACACACAGCTTACCAGTGATTCGTATATAGAATTGAAATTTTTCTAGTTTTAACAGATTTTCGGAAATAAAATCGTGCCATATTGTTGACGACACAAAGTTCAAATCGAAAGTTGATGTTGAAAATGATAAATGTCTTAGATTGGGAAATAATTTTAGGACGAGATGAAAGTCCGTGAATGATAAGTAATTAAAAGACATGCAAAGCCGATATAATAATACTAAAAAAGAACAAAGCTCGAAATTGTTAAGAATAAGCAGGGGCTCAACTTTCTACTTTAAGCCTTGAGTTACATTCCTGTGAATAAGTACTATAAACTATTCTCTCTCTAAGAAACAATCAAGTAACAGATGGCGCAGAAATAATTATAGTCTGAGTATTTTCTGATTGTTTTCTCCTTCTTACACTTCACTAAACTAATCTTTTTACCAAATGATTTTTCGTCTCATAACAAAATACGAAGTTAAAAAGTTCCATGAAAGATTTTATAGAATGCCACACTAATCTCTACTGAACTTTTGTGACAGAGAAATATTGAAGTAGTTATTATGTAGGCCTTGAAAAGCTCTATATTGCAAGTATGATTTTTAAAACAGTTCAGTTACGATTAAGTGCGCCTAAATCATAATAAATTTTTGATAGTTTTGTAAAATATGATCATTTATACAGATTGTTTTTGACGATAGATGATTAGCTGTTATGATCGTAAAAGCATATTGAGCACTAGCCAAAAGTCTAACGAAAACGCGTTCTGATGCTTGTAAAATCATTTGAAAGAAGTGCAGCACTCCCTGCAACAACACATTGCTTTTTTGCTTCATTTTAGTGTCTCGCATGATCTACCATGTCATGTTTTACTTTTGCTTTTGGCAATAAAACAGTCAATACAGTTTTTTGAAGAGCATTCAATAAGGAATCGCTTGATAACAAAACATTAGCGCAATAAGGTGTAAGGAGTGAAAGACAAATTCAAACTATTTACACTATAATTATTTGTGCACTACATGTAAAGTAACCTTTGTATGTATAATATCCATCCCCAAATTTGTATGATTTTGCTCATTTCATTTCAATTCTAAACTCAAAGATTATCTTGCTCTACAGTCTATATTTCGATTGAACCACGTATAGTATGGGTCCGCATCCGTAGTAGGTCATCAGCTTCTTCAATACAGAAAACACTTTTTTCTTTCTATAAGTATGATAGAACGATATTTATTGTTAGATTTGGCCCTTTCACGATCAATACTTCATATTGATAAGAGTGTACCACCCACAAATTCTACATTGCTCAGAAAAGAATCGAAAACTTTTGCCTCTCTTACTCGGTATTTGAGGATGTCCTCGATCATCACAAAGTAAATTATCGATAATTGTTGGATCAATTGATGCTGGATCCTCAGGACGCTTATAAAGTATAGAAATTACCATTCGTTTTACATTTGGACCCACATATTTGAGTAGTTCCAAGAAATTCGTCATATAACAACTATTCAATTCTAAATATTCAAGTTTAGTCCACGGACAAATAGCATTATCAGTAAAATGTAATAGAATTGGATCAAATGAATGTAGAATTAGGCGTTTTAATGAGCGAATCGAAAATAATGCGGCTGTTATATGTGGCGATTGTATCAATGTAGAAGATAAATTCAAGTAAGACAAGTTTGATAACAAATGCAATTTTGGCAATATTTTATCTAAAATAGAAGAAAGTCAGGTTTGATAGTTTAGACTTCAAACACATTATAAATTCGTACCAAAATTCTCTGGAGACGATTTTCGAATGGTTACTGCTCTCAAATTTTTGAAAAGACTAATATCAATATATCGATTGACCAATATCAGACGATCATATTCGTCGCACAATTTTAAACTATAAATTTGTGATGCAAATGGCTGCTGACTAGAACAATAATAGTCAAATGCACATTTTAATCTTGTCAAATCCAATTTTAATTTTTGTGAATAACAAATTGTATTTAGACGTAAATTTAAATTGTAGAAAGCACGATGTAAATCATTGAGCGAGAGAAATTGAAATATGTTGAGCAATAGTTCATTCGGTAATTGTTCGAAGCTCGACTTCAATCGAGATGTGTCGATCTAAGAATAATAAATTTTCACAACTATTTAATTATTATTATGACAGACCTCGACATGATTGGTTGACGCAATATTCAATCAAATTACATATGATATGTTTCTCAGATAGTTGATAAATGGATGAGGAATTCAAAAGCAGAGGCGTAAATAGGGGAGCTCGCGTGGCGCACGACGCCCCCCCCCCCGCTTTTGAAAATGTTGTTCTTTTTGGTCGAAAAAATCGAAAAAACTGTATTTTTAGGGGTATTTTAGTGCCGGATCCATACGAGCCAAGACGTTACGCCCCTCCTACTTCGAGATTTTTGAGGTATTGGAGGCTTACGCTCACCCTGCCTTCTAGACCAAGTTACGTCCCTGTTCAAAAGGAATTTTTGGATATATATGAGGGAAATTTAGTCTGCACTAAGCATTCTAGTTATCTAGTCGTCACCGAATGTCACGTTTTCGAGACCCAAACATCGTATATCTTACCTTTGATTCATTCGTTCCGCTTTTTTCCACATATGCTACTGATGTCATTTGATCCAATTGAGTAGATACGTGACGTACAACAAATGATTCTAGATCGTATAATACTAATGACCCCATTGAGTTGCGACGGCATGATATGAAGCTCATATCTATGATTTATGCAATATAAAAATACTAAAAAAAGTAGTACATATGTAGTATTGTGTAAGATTCGACGATTTCACTCTTAGGAAGTACAGAACAGAAAGAAAATTTTATCATCAATATACTTATTCTTGATTTTTTTGTGTAGAAAAGAAAAAAACGTGTTTTATCAGTGATATTTTTTCTTGTTACAGGTAAAGTTAAAGCATATGCATTCGTCTTGTTAGAAGAAGAACACAAAGCAGCGAAAAAAAAAAATATTGCGCACGTGACATTTCTTCGTTATTTATGAGCTTACAGAAACTGAGTGTATAGTTTGATTGTCTATTATAACCAACGAGAACTACTTTTTAATGCTAATTCTTTACTTGAAATCAAAAGAAGAGAGTGTGACTGTAGGTGTGAATGTAGAATAGGAACACTGATACTCAGACTGCACCTTGTGAGATTTTAATCCCACCGATACTTTATTTTTATAACTATAAATATCTTTCATTGACTCAACAATCTAACGAATATATAGGAAGATAGCATGGGGAAACCCTTAATGGAACATCCCATAAATGATGAGCAAAGAAAGAAAAATCCATAGAACAACATGAAGAAGAATAGAAGAAAAGTGAAAAATCCAACAAAGATGACAGGAAAGAAAAGGTCTATGGCACATGACTAAACAATAAGAGAAAAGAAGAAGAACATGTATGTTCTATTTTTTATTCATTTTATTGTTTAATTAATTGCTGTTCATTCTTTTGGTAAAGCTTTTAATGAAGACGATAATTTATATCAAAGGCAATAATCTTCGTTACTTTTGTGTTTGAATATCTGTAAGAGTTGTATAGCATCCTTCGTTTAAAACATCGTTGGAAAACGAATAATTCATCTGATTTATTTCTTTTTACTTTCTTTTAAATTTTTCATTGAAACCTATCATTTATAATGTATATGAATTTTAAAAAAAAGGTTCATCGAAAAACTAAAGTCTTAACAAACATACTCATAGTGTTCGTTTTGATACAATTATTTTCTAATTTTTATGATCGCTATTGACTAGGAATATCATTTAGAACAACTACACAAATAGTAATACCTTCTTCAACAACAAATAATGAACCTATCATAATTGCTGATGGAGATACTAATAATTTCACATGTCTATTTTAAAGGAAAAAAGAAACATTTTAAATTTTGTTATTTTTTTTTTTACAAGATAGTAAAAGAAGAATGTACAGCGTCTAGTTCACAATTAAATACAAAAGATCGACCTATGATCGAAGTTAAAAAAAACAAATTATATGTTCAGTGTGAAAAGAAAACACGTTCAACATGATAAATGTTTATTTTTAATAGACAAGACGTTCATAAATAAGATTGAAGAATAACAAAAGAATAAGATTCAAATATTTAAATTTTTAATTGCATACAAATCCTGTAGAAGAGTTGAATGCAAAAATTTTAATTTCTAATCGTAGTTAATTTTGTAAGTAGGACAAAACTATCTTTCGTAAAACAAATGAAAAATCATTCTTCAATATCTTGGTAGTTTCTAGAGTTGGTATTCATTCTTCTTCAAATTTGAATATAGAAGAGAGTCGTAAGTATCATACTAGAAAATTTGAAAATGACTGCTTTTTCTAAATATTTACTATATTTAACCTTAAGAAAGAATGTTTAAAAGTAAGCTACTTAAAATTTTTACAGAAATTATTATCCATAGTTTATTCTAGAAGCATCTCCAATATCTTGTCATTGTTTACTCATTTTATTGGATGTTATTATTCTATCTTGTCTAATTTGACAATCATTTTCAATAGTTACTTGGAATTCTGCATGAAGCCCATTACTCATACGCATTTTGTATTGTAGCCAGTGATCAAGGTTATTTTAATTTGACGAAAAATTTACTTCAACTTCATGCGGCAATACCAGCGATAATGGTATAATTGAAAAAAACATCTGTACTTTTTTGGTCTTATTCGATATGATAGTGTTGCAACGGATCATCTTGAACCAAAAAATATTATATGTACATCTATTTACAAAACAAGCTGAATATAAACATGTAAAAGACTTGCAAGAATTTTATTATATTATTGTTTTTGTTTATAGTTCATCTTTTGAGCATAGTTTTAATTTCTCTAGTGAGATAATATTAGAACATGTTTTCTTCTGCAAAAGATTTCTTTTGAGTGAAATACTGGCAAAATTAAAACAAAACAAAATAACTTTTAAATCATGATAAAAAAAGAAAATGATTTCACATAATAGATGTACCAGAAAAATTCAACTTCAACTACAACTTGACTATACTTAACATTCATGCTTACATCTATGAATGATTTAGCTAAAATACATGTTACTAACGTTGTAATACTTGATATACTTCGTTCAAGTCGAATAAGACATGTCATTTATTGGTCAGCGTGAAACAGTGCAAGCATTATCATTTACTATAAAAAAAACTTCGTAAACTTAGTAAATCAATTGATGTAGAATCACGAGTGAATGTTTAAAATAGTTCGAACAAGTTTTTATTTTTGATATTTGTAATGATTTATTAGGAGAATTATTTTATCTTGAACAAATGTAAGAAAATTCTGAAAAATTTTGGTATTCATAATTTCGGCATTGCACAAAACAATAAAATGAAGTCTTTTTGCGTAAAGTTACATTCACATGTAACATATAAAACCAAAGAAAAAAATTTGGCGATGAAACGAATTATTAATAAGCTGATCTGTACTTACAACTGACCATATGAGAAATAACTATTGCTCCTTTTTTTGTGTTTCCTCCTTTCGTCCTGTTCTGGCAGTAGAATGTATGAGAGAGAGAGAAACTAGGGTGAAAAGATTTTTTTGCTTCTTGTCCTATCTTCTTGATTGCGGACGTTTTCTCTTAATTTGAGGAAAAAAATGTCCGCATTATGGAAACAAATGAAAATAGATATAGTAAGATAATCCGTGCAAATAACTCTGATGAAGAATATCAGCTGCTTCGAGCTAGTCTAGTGTCGGTCGTCACGTGTCGTCCAGGCCATTTTGTAAACATATATTCCGAACGAAAGTATTCAAAGTGACGAAGATGAAGTTAGATGAATTAAATCAAAATGCCCACTGTGAAAGATGACAGCTTTTCTACGATTGCCACACAACGTGGTAAGGATAGTATAATCTTCAAAAATCATCATTTTGGAATAAAACGAATAAATAAGAATGGAACTTAAGTATAGATTTTTACAAATAGACTGTGCAATGCTTCAATCATCATACGTGAAGATTTAATTGTGAAAACTTCTTCTATTAAATCAAATAGAAGTCATGAATTTGATCATCAACCAAATGTCTTTAAATGTATATGAATGTATTGAATCAGCCGAACGTCGAATTGAAGAACAGCCCACAGTACCAATTACCTTATTATGCGCTCAACAAGTTAAAGAGATCAGACGTAAAAAAGGTATCGCGGATTCAATTCTCGTATACAATCGTATTAAATCTTCTTTATATGAATATCAGTCATCCAAATATACGCCAGTACCAAAGTCATTATCATTGACCGGCGTACCTTATCGACTTACTCACATTTTATTAGATAAAAATTTTTTATATTTTGTAATGATCATCCTGCATCTGAATTTGACTTTATTTCATCTATGGATATTAAAATTCTCGATGCTAANCACCCACACGCCATCCATACCCACACCCACACCCATCCACACCCGACATTTGAGGTCGGATTCGCTTAAAAGAAGCGGTGAACTTACTTGGTATTCAGATCGAATACCGAGCTCAACTTTTCAATAAAGTTGTTAATGGTAGTCTTTAGGGCACTGAGGTTGGATTCCACCGAACTTATCCGCCCGCCGATCGAAGTCTCGACCGAAAGAAGCCGGGTATCGATATCGACGAGCTTCGCCGCTATCGGTAAGGCGGCATCTTTCACCGCCTCGCTTCTTTTCTCATCAGCCGTTTTTGGATCAAGCTAAAAAAGAAAACACAATTATTTATTGTATTTAAATTTAAAAAAAGAACATTTTGTCTAGGGTGCTTACTTTATCTTTTGCAACTGTCATACTTTTGTTTATTCTTTTTATTCTGCTGTCTCTTTTCTTCTCATGACCTCATTTTTTTCTCTCTCTTTATCCCGTGACCTTCCAATCGAAAACACTGGAAAGGTATCCCTTCACTTCTATAGCTACCACTACCATCTACTGGAGTCATCTATCGATGAGAAGTCGATATCAAATTAAAAAATTTATTCTAATTCTGAAACGTGAAAATACAATTATATCTCTAAAGTCTTTTGGATATTGATAATAAAAAAAAAGCTTTTTTTATTGAAAAAAAAATGTTGCACAATTTTGTATCATATACAATTTTCAACTGAAACTTCAAGAAAATGTTAACGGTTTCAGAACTCCAGAGTGGGTTTCTCAGAGGGCAAAAAAAAAGTTAAGAAAACACTTACCGTAATACCACCGGACATTTTTATATTATAAGTGGTGCTTTGATTTTCTTTAGCTTTTATAGATGGTCTGTTCTATCTACTATCTCTCTGTCTTTCTATTTATCTCTGTCTCTATCTTTCTCGGAGTGTCGAAATAATTATTTCGTTGGCCTACACGTTTTATCACGTCATGACCGCTTCGATCACTATTCGAACTAAACACAAAGAAAATAGATTATTGAAACAAGCAATCATATATTGTACAATAGATTTTTTTTCGTTTCTTTTCCTCTTCTTAACTACGTCTCCAAACTATTCGAATACCTCGATATCGAGGCAAAAAAAATAAGATAAATAGTGAATATAGTGTCCGACAGCGTGTTTTTGTACTTGAATTTATTTGTTTACCAGTGTAAAATATTTTCAATCTCTTTAAATTATTTTTGCTTTTTTTCAACAAGCTTTTACCAATATTGATACATCTTGATTTAATTCATATTACTTTAGAATGCAGCGCAATAAGGCATGAGATGCGTTAATGAAAATATAGCTTAATTGCATTCAGTGTGAATCAGAGACATATGCGCATTTCTCTACACACAATTCTATTGAAATAAAGGTTACGTTACAATAATTGTATGAAGACATCAACAACGATCTTACGAATTCAATCAAACAATTCTTACGTAACATATTCCAATGTTCATGATCTGATTCTTTTCCAAACGAGCGTGACTATATAAGAATAGATTCAGTTTCTATTAAATTTGATTTGCATTATACTTTCTTAAGGATATATATATACTGCATTCTTAGAGTAATGAGTGTGTTATGCCTTTTTTAAAATGCAAAATCTTCTTACATTACTTGAGTACACTGTTGATCACATCTCTTTTTTTAAGTGTCTTTAGACACAAGTTTTCTTGGACTATGCTTGTATTAAAACGAAAGTCTTAGTATCTTACGCCATTAAGCGTAATATTTTGTTAGATCAGTTTTAAGACACAAGAATTTTTACCTTTGCTAAGAACATACAATTCAACAGAATTTACTGTTTCTCGTTAATTAATCTATATGTCTAAGTTTCAGGTTTTCTTAAGAAAGTCTAAAACAAAAGAATATTCTTTGTTTACTATGAGAAATAAATTTTTTTCGAAGATTTTCGAAAAAAAATACTATAAAATTTATTTTTATTATTTGAATAACGTACTTAATGAGTTATTTTTCTTTGTAGATTATTGATTTAATAAAAACAAATGTCATTAAGCGGAAATAACAATCTTTTACGTAAGTTTCAGATTTTTTAAAACGAATAATAAGAGCTTAGATCTAAAAGAAAATTTAAAAAAATATTTCTATTCTTTTTTTTTGTTTTGATTTGTTAAAGTTAGTGATTCTCATTTTCATAATGCTCAGCCACAACGTCGTCGTCATTATTTGGTACCTGAAACTCCAAATACTCATAGCTTCCATCATATACCATCATCTGCTCAATCAATTCAAGCTATGCTTTCATTACCACCTCCATTAACATCAACATCTTATCCTTATTTACAACAACTAGTAGTAAAACCTTCTTCAACACCTGCTATATCATCATCATTATTATGTAAAGATCCAACAGCTAACACTGGCTTTTATCATTTAAATAATCTTTGTTTACCAACACATATTTCTATATCAGAAAGTATTGCTCGAGATGAGATGATAAATAAATCATCTGATGAAAATACAGGTTCAACATATTTATCAAATAAAAATTTAAATGAAAAACATGAATTAATTGAAATTCGTGTTCGTTGTATTTTTTTACGTGTTGGTGAAATTGATACACTTAATGAACGATATACAGGTGAAATTTTTTTTTGAAGCATCATGGTATGTAAAAGATCCAACAATTGGATCAGAATATCATCCTTAAACAGCGAGTTTCAATCCACAATTAGCTGTTCTTAATCATATGGGAGATTCATTAAGAGATGATGTAAGTATATAGTTTCATGTCTAAAGAATTATTTCGATAAACTAAAATCAATCGTGATTGGTATTTTGAATAGAAAAACATGTTTTTTTTTCTTATCATCGTTTTGTACAGAAAATTTGTTTTCAGAAAAGTCTATATGCTTTTTATTTAAATAGAAATGGTATTCAATAAATAAAACAAATGAAAATGGTCTAATAGAAATCGTTGAACATCAAAAATTTAAAGGTACTTTTTGGGAACGTATGGAATTAAATCATTTTCCATATGACGTTCAAGAATTATCAATATCATTAACAACACCATTAACAATAAATGATATATATTTTATTGAAAATAAACAAAAACCATCTGGTGTTAATCGTACTGTATTTAGTGATCAACAATCTTGGCATTTATATGAACATGTTGAATTTTCATTTGAACAACATCGAGAAGAATATTCATTAAATTATGATCAAATACATCCTGTTCTTATTTGTACATGGCATGTTGGAAGAAAATGTGGTTATTATATTTGGTAAATTAATGTTGTAAAACACAATCTAAAAAGTGTTCTCTAATGAATGTACTGACGAGGGAAATCCTTCAATTGATAAATAGCTTTTGATTCGAGACTACGTGCATAATGTAGATCTAAATGAGCTATGAACATCCTGAAAAGAGTTCGTGCTCTTAGTTTATTGCTATAGAGATATTACCAGGAATGAGGCGAAGAGAAAAGATTGGGAAGCGTTGAACTTTCTTTCTCCATTTTACGATCTTTTGTTTTTTAATCAAAAATACAATTTTGGCTGGAAAAAACTGAAAATTTTCTAAAAGTTGACGGTGCGTACCTTCCATGGCCGCATCTCCGATTTTTACGGGTATTTTTGAAGTTAACACCGTGTTTACATTGTTCATATACACCGACAGATTTGATATTCTTATTTTAGGATAAAAGCAAATTACAAGATTTGAAAGCTTTATAATAAACTACTTTCGTTAAGGCCTGTCATTTTTCTGGTGTTCCTAAAGGAAACCACGGCATTCATGAAAAAGATACCGTAAAATGCAGCAATAAGCTAAAGGCATAAACTCTTTTCAGGATATTCATAGCTCATTTGAATCTACATCATGCACGTAGTTTCGAATCAATAACGATTTATCCGTTGGAGAACTCCTCTCGTGAGTTCAAGGTATTCGTATACTGGATCAACTTTCAGCAGGGTACCTTTTCGGGTATCCTGCTAAGAATCAAATAGATAGAATAAAACAGTCCCTTGGGATTGTGCTGACGATTTCGTTTTTTGTTTTTATTAAAATAAAATGTATGGTTTCTTTTTCTAAATAGGAATGCATATTTTTTAATTTTTCTTATAATATCAGCATCTCTTGGTACATTTTCAATATCACCCTCAAATTCTCATGGTCGTTTACAGATAACATGTACTCTTCTATTAACATCTGTTACATTTCGATGGGTTGTTAATAAATCACTTCCGTAAGTAAAGAAAAAAAAAGACATTTTGATGAATTTGTTTGTTTCTTTTTCCTATTTAGAACAATTTCATATTTAACAGCATTAGATAGTAAGTTTAAATGATGTTATCTTTTTGTTTTTGTGAATAATTATTTTTTAATTTTAGTTTATGCCATAGCATCTATAGTTGCTCTATGTATAATGAATATATTTCATGGTGTAGTTAGTTATTTATATTATAATCAAATATATTTAGTTTCATATTTAACACCAAATAATACACAAGAACTTCAACTTTCACTTTATCCTGAATATTTCATTTGTCGTATTGATCATTATGGTTTTTATATTTTATCTGTTACATTTTGTCTTTATCAAATTTTAATATTACTTTGGACATTTTGGATTGATGGCGACGAATAGATTTTAAGATATGCTGAACATCATGGCGTTACCGAAAATTGTAGGTTCTCTAAGGTTCTAGAGTCGGTTTTCTCGAACGTCTCTGGAAGTCTGATGTACATCTTTTTACTGGTTTTAATTAATGTGTCGATAATGCGTGAATAGCTGCATTGGGCTACCTATATGACCTCTTGACACCCAATCATCTTCGACTAGTATGAAGTCCGATAAAAAGTCAAACAATTCATTTTTAAAAACTATTTCTACGTCTTTTAGTAAGTTTGTAATCATGTATGAGTTTTCTAGAGCTGATTTTACTTGGAATGAATAGAACGAATTTTATACTTTAGAAAATATATGAAAATCGAGCTATGAAATGAAAATTTACTCTGCGATTAATTTATTAGTAGTATACGTTATTCTCTGTTAAAACTCGATCGTTAAATATGATATTCATGATCAGTCCGTAGTGCATATTTTTTTGGAAATATTTAAAAAAAAAAGTTTTTTTTGGAAGTTCTGAGTTGTACTCCAAGAACTAATAAAGTCATATCAAAATAGCGTGAAAATTTAAGTGATGGAAAATACTTCTAGCAACTCTCTCTCAAACGTTTTCAATTGAAAACAGTGTCGGCAAACAAAAATGACCTTATCGGAAAGTGTTCTTTTGAAAATAAAATTTTCTTTATAGTGCTTTATAAATTTGGTCCAACTTTTAATCATGCTGATTATTGTTTATCAATTGAAAATTTTTGCACAATAAATAGTTGTACATGGTCATTTATATCCGGATTTAATCGAGCATGTTTAAATGCAGGTAAAATATTACTTTTAACCAATGTTGAATTACCAAAAATAATGACAAATAATATTGAAGAATTTCTTGAACANAAAATGCTTATAACTCCAGAACAAAATGACATCGTGAGCTCGGCCTTGCGTAGATCGAAAGAGAACAATTTTCTCTATCGATTAATATCATTGAAAGTTCAAATTGAACGAAAATTAGTAGCACGAGGCAGCTCACAAACTGTCCAGCAAAAGTTCTCCTGGTTGGTCAATTGCTTGGCCATTCAAAATCAGTAGGATTTTATAGCCCCCGGCTTGCTCTTTTGAATGGTGAAAACCGCAGCTCGATAACTCAAAGTAATCAAAAGTTATTCAGAAAATGGTCGTTAATACTTTTAAAAAAATCCGACATTAGTTTTAGAGAATCCAATTAGATACAACGTGTTTTCTTAGTTATTGCTGCATTGATCAAATCATTTGATAGGGTTTTTTCACTTTGCTTTTTTTCTTATTGATTCAAAATATCGCTAAAATTCAAGATGATAAAAGCCTATAAAATCAGGAGATGTAGCAACCCTACTAATCAGATATTATGTGCAGTTTTATTTCTTTATAATAAGATTGATTTATATCGAATCGATGACGGTTACAATAAATTAGTGACTTTTGATGAATAAGTTCATTTTAAATTTGGAAAACCAACTAAGATATCGAATAGCTATTGAAAAATTCTTTTTATCATGTTGTTAATTAGAAACATCTTTTAGTATATACTTTTTTATACTTTATTTTTATCATTAGTTTTATGATAGACAGTGAGATCTCTGACTGATTCTATTTCTACAAAGAATTTATGACAAGTATTTTTCATGAACTTCCGAAGTTCTTTGATTAAATAGGATACAATTTTTTTTCTTTTTTCTATATTATTTATTTCAATATAAATATTCAATTATAATTTGGATAGAAAAGGTGACTAATCTTCTCTTCATTCCATAATATTCTAAAGGAAATAAGTATTCACTTTATATTTGTCTTGGGAAATTAAAAAAGATAACATGAGACTTTTGTTTTACTATATTATTCGAACACTTGTCTCAATTCTCAAGTATAAAATGGAATCGGAAGATATTACAATTTATGAATTCATGTAACAATGAAATTGTATGAAATAGAACAAAGCCTTCGTAATTATTCTTTTAGCAAGTAACATTATTCTTCTTTCTTTTATATCGTTTGTTTCTTTGAAGAAACATGCATAATTCGATTTTCATACTATTTCAGAATTAAACAGTGTTGTGTGAACAATAAAATGATTTTCATATTTTCAATTTTTAGGAAACGAATTCTAAATAGATCAGTGATTATTCTTAGTAACAGTAACAAAATAACTATATACTTCGACTTATCTTTGTGTGTAAATAAAAAACAATACCAGTTACACTGTGGAAAGAAATAGGCGAAATATATCAATTATAGTTCTTTTTTGGTTTTGTTATTATCTGTAGACATATTATTGTCATTGTGATATGTTGTCGAAGTCTTGATGAAATTCTATTATATACATGATGATGACAACTTTAGTACTGACATTGTCTTTTCTCTGTGAGATGATTAATGTTTATCTTCTCTGTAAGTAGATAATTAACATCGAAATATGTTTTGTTTTGTTTAGAAAATGATGATCTAGTGAATGAATTAATTTGCAAGTAGAAAAACAAATATTTGTGTTTCTTTGACAATGAAAAATATTCTATAAAATAATTAACGTTTCTTGTTGTTGAGTGCATTTGATACATCAATAATCTTAAAAAATGTGTAAATAAATAATCTTATGCATTGATCGTATGATATGTTGTGCAAGCATAACACAATCTTATTTTAGAAATAATACCGCGATTTTCGGGAATGGCAAAATGATGTATTTCTAACAGAATGTAAGAAAACGTTTTGGTTTCGGTAAAAAGAAATTCAAAATATTTGATGTTTTTGGAAATAAATGACTAGCGCATACTTAAAATTCTATTTCCGGTCAAACCGGTCCTATTGGAATACTTATGTACATGTTTTGCATTTGGTATCAACAATGCTTGTCATCACCTTATTTTTGGCGTCTTTTCTCTTACTATGTTTGCATTACAACGAAAGTCTTAGTATACTACCTCATTAACCCTTTGGGGACCGACTGTTTTTTCGAGAAGAGGTAAACGATATCGTCGAAATTAGTTATAACTTAGAATTTATGACCCATATACTGGTGGCGCTAGTTTTTGTTTCTACAGAGTATAACAACGAACTCTCTGATGGAAAAAGAAATAAAATATACAATGATTCCACTTCGAAATATCCAAAGAACTTGAGCCTTTTCTTTCAGTTGTGTGGCCGTATACATACGGCCTTAGTCCCCAAAGGGTTAAGAATAATACTTAGTTAGATCACTGTTAAGATACAAGAATTTTTACTTTTGCTAAGAACATACAACTCACCAGAATTTACTATTTCTCGTTAATAAATCTATGCCTAAGTTTCAAATTTTTTTTTTTGAGAAAGTCTGAAACAAAATAATATTAAATCGTTGATTATGAGAAATAAATTCTTTTCAAAGACTTTTGAAATAAAATACTATAAAAAAAAAAAGTATTTATTTTTATTATTTGGATAGCATATTTTATTAGTTATTTTTATTTGTAGAATACTGATTTAATAAAAAATGGCACTAAGTGGAAACAATAATCTTTTACGTAAGTTTCAGATTTAAAAATAATTTTTTTTTTTAATTTTTTTTTGTTTTGACATGTTAAAGTTAGTGCTTCTCATTTTCACAATGCTCAGCCACAACGTCGTCGTCAAAATGCCGTAGTTTCAACTCCAGATACTCATAGCTTTCATCAATTAGCATCATCTGCTCAATCACTCCAAGCTATTCTTTCATTACCATCTCCATCAACATCGACATCTTATCCTTATTTAGAACAACTAGTAGTAAAAAATTCTTCAACATATGCTCTAGCATCATCATTATGTCACGATGCAACAGATGATAGTAGTCTTTATCATTTAAATAATCTTTGTGTACCAAAAAATGTTTCTATATCAAAAGTTATTTCTCGAGATGATTTGATAAATAAATCATCTAATGAACATACAGGTTCAACATGTCTATCGGATAAAAATTTATATGAAAAACATGTACCAATTGAAATAAGTGTTCGTTGTATTTTTTTACGTGTTGGTGAAATTGATACACTCAATGAACGATATACAAGTGAAATTTTCTTTGAAGCATCATGGTATGTAAAAGATCCAAACACTGAATTAGAATATGGCTCTCAAACGGATAGTTTTAATCCACAATTAGCTGTTCTTAATCATATGGGAGATTCGTTACGACATGATGTAAGTAAATAGTTTCATTTATTAAGAATTATTTAGATAAACTAAAACTAGTGATGATTCGTATTTTGAATATTGTTTTAGAAAAGACTAAATTATTGAATCAGATATACTATTGTTGAATTCAGTGTGAAATTTTCCTCTTTCTGAATACTGTTGAGTAAAATTTTTGTTCGTTTTTTTTTTAAATAGAAATGGTATTCAACAAAAAAAACAAATACAAATGGTTTGATTGAAGTAACTGAACATCATAAATTTAAAGGCACTTTTTGGGAACGTATGGAACTAAATCATTTTCCATACGATGTTCAAGAATTATCAATTTCATTGACAACACCATTAACAATAAATGATATATATTTTACCGAAAATAAACAAAAACCATCAGGTGTTAATCGAACTGTATTTAGTGATCAACAATCCTGGCATTTATATGAACATGTTGAATTTTCATATGAACAACATCGAGAAGAATATTCATTAAATTATGATCAAGTACATCCTGTTCTTATTTGTACATGTCATGTTGGAAGAAAATGTGGTTATTATATTTGGTAAACAAATATTGAAAAGCATAATCTAAAAAATGTCATCTAGTGAATGTGCTGACGATGCCACTGTCCCAACTGATAAATCGCTCTTGATTCGAGATTACGTGTATTATGTAGATCCAAATGAGCTATGAATATTCTGAAAAGAGTTAGTACCCTTTGTTTATTACGGTGGAGATATTGTATTTTTATCAGGGATATGGCGAAGAGAAAAACAATGGATGTTGCTGAACTTTTTTTTTCTATTTGACTATTTTTCTTTTAAACAGGATTTGAGTTGAAAAAACTGAAATTTTCCTAAGAGTGGAGAATGCGCACTCCCGTGATCACATCTTTGGTTTTTAAGGTATTTTTGAAGTCAATGCCGTAGTTTTCCTCAGGAATACTAGAAAAATTCATTTAAGAATTTCAACTTGAAGCTTTTCAAAGGGATTAACTTCGTTGAGAATAGTTTCTTGTAAAAGTTTCAGATTTTTTTTTCGTTGTTCGTATCCTACGATACAGTCATAGTAAAATTGTATCTTTTATATCGCTCATATACACCAACACACTTGATGTTCTTATTTTAAGATAAAAGTAAGTCAAAAGATTTGAAACTTTCACAATAAACTACTCTCGTTAAGGTCTGTTTCTATGTAAAATTTGAAGATGAAATTCGAAAATGAGTTTTTCTGATGCTTCTGAGGATGACCATCGTATTCATGCAGGGTACATTTTTTGGGTATCTTGCTGAGAATTATCTCGTATCTGCTTAGGTACCTGTTCAGTTTCTGTAGTATTCAATCAAAAATTTTTTAACAAGTTAGTAGATTCAATATTTAGAAGCATTCTGTAGTCAAGTGCTAAAAGTTCATGAAATACCCAAAGGTTTCTGTGATATATTAGTAGTAGGGTAACCTGAACTCAGTATATTCAAAAGATAGCTAAGAAATGTGTCTCAAAATAGATAGAATAAAACAATCTCTATGTGATTAGCAACAGCATCTACATCGTATTTCATAATTTAATCGTAGTGGGATTATGCTCACAATTTTTTTTTGCAGTTTTTATTAAAATGAGATATATATATACGTATATTTTAAATAGGAATGCATATTTTTTAATTTTTCTTATAACATCAGCATCTCTTTGTACATTTGCAATACCACCATCGAATGCTCATGGTCGTTTACAGATAACATGTACTCTTTTATTAACATCTGTTACATTTCGATGGGTCGTTAATAAATCACTTCCGTAAGTAACAAGAAAGAGACAAAAAAGGATTTTCTTTGATGACTTCGTTTCTCCTGTATTTCTATTTAGAACAATATCGTATTTAACAGCATTAGATAGTAAATTGAAATAATATTATCTTTTCTTTTTGTGAAGAATTATTTTTATTTTTAGTTTATGCTATAGCATCTATAGTTGCTTTGTGTATCATAAATGTTTTTCACGGTGTAGTTAGTTATTTATATTATAATCAAATATATTTAGCTTCATATTTAACACCAAATAATGCACAAGAACTTCAACTTTCACTTTATCCAGAATATATCATTTGTCATATAGATCGTTTAGGATTTTATATTTTATCTATTGTATTTTGTCTTTATCAAGTTTTAATATTACTTTGGACATTTTGGACACCTTATAAACGACGTCGATCAATGCAACGTAAAGATGAAAATAATCGAGCAGAACTTATGACTAAAATGGGAAATGGTGAATCATAAAGTGGACAATAAAATAAACTACAAAGTCATTATTTTTCTTTTTGTCATTATATTTTATAATTTATTATTCATGTAAATATACTTTGAATGAATGATTCAAAGTTCAATTAAAGAATAAGGAATAAAAATTTTCATTTTACGACTCCAATTGCAATTCTTATAATAAAAAAATAAAGTATACTTGTCTATATTAAAGCTACAAGCAAATTGCTTCATATGGTAGACACATTTATATCAATAACTAAGAATCATCTTTGATAAAGATGATGGTGAGCGCTTATTTTCTGATTTAGGATTTTTTTATAGCTCAATTAGAGTTTGCTTTATATTAGGTAGCATTGAAGTTTCGGCTTACCCGAATTTCGCCAATAAGACTTTCGCCAACTGGACATTCGCCAATGGCGAAAGTCCAGTGGTACATGGGCGAAAGTCCAGTGGACTCTCGCCAATTGGCGAAAGTCACCGGGGTATATTGGCGAAAGTCAAGTGGACTCTCGCCAATTGGCGAAAGTCACCAGAGTNTTTTTGGTCAAAAACAGGAAAATCAGGACAGTCTTAAAAAATCAGGAATAAATCAGGAAAGTAAACACGCTGCGAGGCCTGAAAATTCTCTTCTTATCTCTGAACAATTACATATATATGAATACATCAGCATATTTCTACCGTTCTAGGCTGAAGTGACTCGATCAATAATTTTTTTCAGTTATAGTTCAATGTGAACAATTTTGTTTTTAATATTTTATGTCTTTATATTCCATCTATGAAAGTTGACGCATAAATCTTTATAAAAAAAAAGTATTTAAATAAAACAACAGTATCGATTTTTTCTAACTTTCTATGGATAGATTCAGTTAGACTCCAGGATATTAGCGAAAACTTAATGCATACAATTTGCATCTTGATTTATAAATTCACAGAAGAGAAAAAAAGAAACTTGTAGATCATATTGATCCTTCATTCCAAATATCTCTATTTCAATGAGCATGTTCAAAATATTAAAGAGAAACTTACATAGATCGACAATATTGTCTATCAAGATATTCAATACATACATAATGTATCACAAAAAAAGAAAAGTGAAGACATACTGTTCCATGATAATTTTTATAAAAAAAAAGAAGGGAAAACGAAACAACATTGTTGAATAGTTTTTTCGATTAATTTATACAAATAAAAAGAAACATTACGATTCAACTGTTCTTGTTTTTCGATGTAGATAGATTTCTAGTTGTGCGTAGTTGACTTTATTTCAAAACATATTCAACTTGCATGTTAAGATAAACCATCCTAAAATTGATTTATGAAAAAAACAAAACTTTTTGTTGGTTTTCAACATGAATTTAATCTTACCAATAAATAATATTAAATACAATAAAGGCAACAGGAAAAAGAATAGCTGAGACAAGATCGACCTTAATTTTAATAAAGAAAACAAAAATCTTTTGTTTGTAATTGTGTTGTTTCTATTTTTCAACTCACTAATTGTGCATTGTCACGAACAGGTTTAGCAGTTTTCGGTACTGGTGCTGGCGGTGACAAGACAACCTGTGGTGTTGGTGAAGGTGCAGTAGTATTGGATATTGATGAATTCTGAATAAGTGAACTAGTGGCATTTCCACTATTTAAATTTTTCTCGGTAGCACTTCCTTTATGAGCAAGTGTTTCCGTTGCTTCAGCATTAGAATGATGTGTATCATCTTTTTTATAGAAATGTACTTGAGCAAGACGATTACCAATAACCTTTAAATTAATATGTATACAAGAAAATTAATGCAAAAATAAACAAATCTATTTCAAACTAATACATGTATATAATTAAATAAAAAAAACATATTGTGATAATAAAAACATGTATGTGTATGTGTGTAGATATGTGTGGATGTGAGAAAATATAAGAAGAAGCTTAAAGGGATAAATTCTATTAACTAAAAGAAATTAATTTACTCTCTCTGTAGCAAAAGATGAGCCATCCTGTAGATTTTGTATTAAAGTTATTTTTGCTGTTCTGTCCAATTTCTTTTTCTATAATAATATTTTCGAAATAGATATCAATCACACATTTATATACAACAAATAACAATAAATAATACAAATTAAACTTACTTCTCTGGAAAAACGAACTTGTTGTCTTAATTCATTTTTACGAGCGATAACATTAACAAGTGCATATTCAAGTAAACCAGCGAAGACGAAAACAAGACATGCTGACATCCAGACATCTATTGCTTTTATATATGATACACGCGGCAATTGCGATCGAATACCTAAATTGTTGACAAACCATATAATAGGATATTAATCATATTTATCGATAAAGGTTAGAAAGCAATAAGCTAGATCCATAGCCAAAAAGAGTTTTTATAGGAAGTTTGCATCCTCTTATTGGCTAAGGTCATACTATAAGCAAATAAGCATTTAATGAAATGAAGAAAAAAAGCAGTGAGCATGGTGTGAAAAGGTGTATGTTAATGAAAATTATTTCTTGTTATTATTATTAATATATATAATTTTTATTTTGTTACCTGAGCTTTGAGTAGTAACTGTAAGAACAGTTAAAAGACCGACTGAAATTCTAGCTGGAACCTGAATATATTGATGACAAATATTAGTTCTATTCTGGTTTTCGACCTTACCGACTTATGGTCGATCCAGAATGAAACAAAAGAAAGAATAACAATGAGCATTGATGGAATATAAACTTGAACTATAGAAATTTAACTTTCTCAAATTATTCCTCATATAAAAATAAGACGACTAAACTCACCAAGATAATAACCAAATAAACGTTTTAAATGAAGCACAACAAGAAGGCATGTAAAACTGCCTAGAAAATTGATCGTCTAATTATGTCAACGAATTAAATAAATAAACAAAAAACTTTCTTCATTTGCGTACTTTACTACTCACAAAGATAATATATAATAATTGTATCAAATAGATTATGTATAATAAAATGATTATTATATGACGTGCATAGATGTCAGTATGGTGGTTAAAAAAAACATAGTGCAAGCAGAAAATGCGAACGGGTGTATGTGTGTGCTCTAGGTTTCTAATCGAAGTAAAAAGAAAAAGAATATTTTTTTGTACCTTCAGCCTTTGTTGTTACAGTAACAATGCTGAGTAGACTCAATAATGTTCGTGCAGGATGGGATTTATAGTCGATCCAGAATGCGATGAATGATAAAGCAACAATTAATGTAGATGGTAAATAAAGCTGTTGTAAATATAAATTGATGTTGCGTTGTAATGAGAGATGCACTTCGATACATGCAAATGTGCCTACGAGCGAGTCGAGTAAAAACTTATTACAAAACAAAATTTTAATATATTCACCACATAATTAAAAGTAACACGAATGAAGAAAGTTTTTTTTTTTTTTCGTTTTTTTTTTAAAAGTTAAATTGACAAGCAAAGAAGACATATCTAACCTGTTGCTGTTGTTCGATTGCAATATCTTTGTTCAAAATTACTTAATACGAAATCAGGCATTTCAAGATCTTCATTAACTCGAATAGCACTTGTATTAGGAGTTTCATCCCAATAAAATGCTAAATCATTTGTGGCAAAAGCATCTATAAAAGAACAAATAACAAGTTTTCTTTGTATATTTTTTTTTGATTATATGGAAAAAAGACACATACAACTGCCAATATTAACCACGCATGTTTGGTTATCAAGTGGAAATTTTTGTAATTTCATTTGACAATCAAGTTTAAGTAAAAGTCTAGAGAAGAGAACAAATAAACTTTCACTTTTTTTTTTTAGATTTCTAAACAAACCTTTGACTATAAAGTACTTTTCCATCACGATGAATGCGAATCAATCGATTAGGTACTGTTATATCACTACGTTTACCTTCTTTAGCATTACGAAAAAATGAATCAGGCACCCAAATACGATCAATAAGTGAATAATGTAATGTAATCTCTGGTGATCTTTTTGCCCATTCTGTACCAGAATAATTCAATCTGGGGTCATACCATGATTGACGAAAAATTAAATCTGTATTATAATCCTAGTAAGAAGAAGGGAAAACTAATTGACACAGACATTATTACTTCTGTCTTACCATGTTAACTTCATTGATAGCTGAAATTGTATTAATATGAATAGTCATAGTCACATTACATGCTTCTACAATCGAAAAAAAATTCCAAAAAAAAAATGATTATTTCATAAATGACTTACTATGTTGGTCAAAAAATGGCCGAATACGTCTATCATAATGACTTGAATTGATAAGTGTATCAAGAAAATCTTCAACTGTATTTATAGATGAATCACTGCGCAAGAAGTTTGCACTAGAAATAAGTGTGAAGATTGTTAATAAAATATGCAAACCAGTATGTAGTTTCATTGTTTTTGTTTTTTTGATAAACACGCTAGATTATCGATAATATAAGGTTGTTGTTGAATCCTTTTTTTTTTTTTTTGATAAGAAAGTATAACATTGATCAATGAATATCAACAGAGTAAATAACTGCCAAAAAGTTCTTTACGAATGACGGCGAAACAACAGAAATATCCGTCTTATCTAACATATATAGACGATATCCAATGTTGACGATATATCGATGCTGATGATAATGGCATTTCAAAGTACGAAGGATAAATAAATGCTTAGCTAATGTATCATTATGAAATTTAATCTATTATTCTAGATGTTGTAGCTTCTTACTTGATGTAAGTGCGTGTCTATCTCAAGAGAATCAAGACTTGTGTGACTGCTTGACTGACATTCAGCAATTGTGATACTGACATGTATATTTATGCTTGGTATCGAGACGACATCAATGCAAAAAGTCGGAGACAACAAAAAACTGACGGGTACTAACAACAACTGGCAAGTGATAAAATAAAAAAGCACATACAAAGAGACAGAGAGGGTGAGAGAGACAGAGACAGAGACAGAGACAGCGACAGAAAAAGAAGGAGCAACTGACGAAGACATGATGTCTTTTATTATTCTTCAACGAAAGTGAGAGTACTAGAAGATCTAGTTAGGCATTTCTTTTTAATAACATATAAAATCAAAAATAATTGAACGACAAACAAATGCTCAATATGACATGTAAAGTAATGTTCTACTATTTATATTAAGTAAAGCATTTTTCTTCATTGAATCAATTCATCTTACACATTGCGTTTCCTCTTCAACTTGAGTTCAATAAATAATCCACATTTGTTACTTCATATACTTATACATCTTCAATCACAACAAGTTTTATTAGACCAAATAGCATCTGGTGCCATATTAATTAAATATATAGGCAAGAACGAAAAAAAAAAGTTACTTGTAAAAAGTCAAACAAAGCTTTAGAATAATATATTTCCGTTGTTTTAATCAAGTCAGTCGACAGGAAGTCGATTCCGTGCTGCTTTTTCGTCTAATACTTGCCAACCCGTCTGTTTATGAGTACTGAAAAAGCAATAAATCAATGCACTACCCACATCTTCTTAATCTTTCTATTGATTCTATTATTTTGGGCTGGAATATTCTATAAAAAACCTAGCTAATATTGACCATATACATCATCCTTGTCTAAGTTGTCGGATAAATATCTTTTGACAATATTCAATTAATGTATCTATATATGTCGACACTAGAATAGAGATATGTAGGACTGTACAATCTCAATCTACTTCATACTAAACGCGTATATATATATACATACTAATACACAACAAATAGTTTCAAGCAAAAAACAGTAGAAAGTAAATTCCGAAAGCAAGATTGGTGTTCTATGTAGATCAAATTGCTCTTTGATAATTAAGAACAAATTGTTTATAAATATAGATTCTGCAAAACAACAATTGGTAATATAGAGATAGAGTATTTCGATAGTAGTTAACTCATTAATAGCATTGCAGCATACTCAGAATTCATCACAATATAATAATTATCTGCTGCAAATGTGTTTATTTTTGTTTTATATTCTATTGTTTACTAGTTTTTTTTTCAATGACTCAATGACAAAATGAAATGAAATTTTTGATTAGAACAACATAAAACAAAAAACAAGACCCACTTTTCGATGGTGTCATCTTTATTCTTATCTATCCATAAATCTTGACCATGTATTGGACTATGAAATAGAAATGTATTTAAAATAAATATGAATATAATACTGATGACAATCATTGATGATGTTGATGAACATTGCCAATTGTAAGTTTTAATTCAGACATTTAAGAACAACTCTTTTCCAATACTCGTCTATTGTTAACTACTTCTTTTCTTCTAGTTTTTTTTTTCTCGCTCACATTTTTCTGTTCTTATTCACCGTAGTATATTTTTTTCTTACAGTTGCTTCATAATATTACATTCTCAATAATAAGGATTTTTCGATGTTCTCATTGATTAGAGTTTTTGCATTTACCCTTTCTCTTAGTGTTTAGTCGTTTCTCTCTATTTTTTTCTCGTTGCAACTTTCTATTTGCATTGTGCTTTAGCGTCATACTCAAAATCAATTTGCATCAACACTATTCCATTCTTATTAAGCAAGCAACTATAATATACGATTACGTTTCTTTGTCGACATTCTCATAAAGTGTTCACTTTTTTTTTCTTATTATTTTTTGTCGTCTTTATAGATGAAGATCGACATTTCTTGTGTATAAATAGAAGAAAAAGAAAAGAAAACTTTGGACAGGACGGAACACTCGTACTATTTGATGAATGATACGATGACAACATTGATGAAACGGGTGTAAACGAATGTAATAATCACCCGTAAAGATTGAGAGACTCATAAACAGCATCTTCTTCCACACGTTTCTTTCAGGTCCCTCAAGGCAAAACTATTTTGTCCGTCTATGCTTTTATGATGAAGAGAAACAAGGTAATGAGTTGCACAAAATCTGGATTTCTACTGTCGCATGAAAGAAAATATAGATCATTTCTGCTGTTATTAGATAGAATAGATCGGTTAGAGCAAGTGAAAATCTTCCTCGATTCTCATTGGTTCTTGATGTTTCTCAATCAGACTTTTTTTAAGTAATCTAATTTATATTTATTGACGATGTTGTTGTAATCACGAAACGGATGCTGATGCGCTCTGTTTATATCGTTTGGTACTTGTTGTCATATGTGTCCCTTTTATTATGATTACGTTACGATTAGCATAAGAATGTTTCGTATACACAAACTGTAGTAATCATAATTGATTCAATCGTAATGGAACGGAATAGACGGATGTCAATGATATGTATAAATCTATTGTGTATCTCTCCGATAATAAAATAATGACAGAAAAAACAAACTAGCACAAATATAGAAAAGAAACTATATGTTGATGATAAATCTTTAACTATCATCATGAAGAGAAAGAAAGAATTAAAGAAATGCAATAACGATCTTATGAGATAATATTGAACAGAATTAAAGTTTAACATCCACGTATTGTAAGTACTCCTATTATATGCTTTTGCTTCTGCGTAAAAAGAATAATGACAGTATCTTAATATCTAATTGCATGTATGCTAAACGAATAAAGCAAACCTTCCATATCTAATTGCTACTTTGTGTAATAAGAAAGAATGGTTTGTCTCGATTATATTTCATGCTAGAATATATATCTTTTATACTCTCTTATTAATGATCATCTCGAGAGAATCAAGATAGAAAAAGTAGTAGGTAGTGTATTCAATGGCATTGAGTCTTCTGATTGTATGAATTACAAGCTTCAAGCAACGATTGTATCAGTGGGAGCTTCTTCTTTTTTTCTTTTCTTCCTATTCTTATTTCAGTTCGGCATTCCATTTACTATTACTACTAACTAATTCTAGCAACTGATCGGATAATTGCTCAGCATGTATATTATCTAATTAAGTAGAATACCAATATGTCATATTTTGGTTTTAAATATTGATAATGATGAATTTGTAAGAAATAGAGAAAAATACAGATTTGTTATTCTTCTTATTCTATTTCACTTTATAATATATTACGTGACATTAGTTTAGAATATTTTCATATGATCAAATTATCAACAGTATTTGTCTTCATACGCGTGCCATCTGAAATTCTTTTTGTCCTATACTTGTTTCATTAAACTAAAAAGGCCTCGAGCATATGGGAATGTATGAAAAATAGATAAATTGATAGATAGTGATTTTAAACGTACCGACTAGAAAATGAATGACGTCCTATATCAGTCATTTTGTTCCATAGTTGATGATTTGGATGACCATCTTCTAAATCAGTTGCCTCTATTGTTGTTGTTTGTGAAGCAAAAGAAACGACTTGGTTGTTAATTCCAAGCATAAAAGTTAATAGTAATTGTGTTAAAAGCATGGTACATTACGATAAATATAATGACTGACTACGCGTCAGCCTGGAGATAGGTCATTCATTGATATCATTGATCATATTGGTTCATCTGACGGGTATTTATAGAAATTTATCTATACGTATATGTTGCCAGAGTTTTAAAGAAAATAGATGTCGATAGAAAAACAATGAGAAAAAAAATAGGAAGACGAAGAAGAAAGAAAAAAGAATAGACGAGTTGCAACGATGTATCACACACTCTCTAGCAGATTTGTTATTTTTTTATTTTCATTTTTGTTCATTTCCAGATTTTTCTTTTCCCGGATTTTTCTTCCCTTCTCTCTTCATATATGTTGCCATTCATATAGCAAAAAAAAAAGAAAGAATCTTCTTTTTTTGTCTTCTATCAACGACGTTAATGATAATGGGCGGATGGTGATGATCCATCGCTTTCTTTTTTTTAAATATATATGTATCCTATGTCGTCAAAATCTGTCTTTTTCCTTCTGATTCTTTTTTAGTTGTCGCGTCAGTGCTTTTTTTCTTCTTCTTATATTTATTAATCATTCACACAAAGTGTTCACTGCACAGTTAATATTTCATCTGCAGGAAAACAAACAAAATACATATAAGGTTATGTCTTAATGGTGGCCATTTAATTTTCTTTTTTAACTTTTAACAAACTTTGCGTAATAAATCATAAACGGGAAATTTTTATATTCACATTAACATAAGAACAAAACCAATTAAAATGATGACAAAAGAAGAAAGTTTTTTTTTCTGAAAACGGATATAAACAACATCATTGTAATCTTTTATCGACAAAGCATATAGAAGACCTTGTCGGAAGAAGAAAACGGATGTTCCATCTTCTTTTAAAAAGATGATAAAAATGAATCAATATATTGTTCTTATAAGATAAGACAAGAATTCATGTTTCGGTATTGATTCTTACATAATACAAGGTTTAGTTCTCAACATTCAAAAGATAATAAATGATATTATTAAAGAAAATGATGATGTGGAATAAAACAAAAAGCGACAAACTAATGGCATTAATACAGATTGAATACGACACCAAGATG